TTGTGTGCCAATTTCTGCTGGCAATTAATCACTCCGTCAGCCAGCATCTTGCCATCCATCCAGATCCTGGCTTCCAAGATGTCGGATGTCGCCGGAAAGTGTTGATAATGCACTCGCCAAGAAAGCGTTTACAGTTATTTTCCTGGCTTAATGATATGCAAATACATATAAACAAAGACTGCGAAGGCAACGAGATCCGTTAATTGCCTTTCCTTTGTTGTTATTGCTGTTGCTTTTGCTGTTGTTGTTGCCTTCCCGCTGGGCTGGCTATTAACATTTAATTAAACGCCTTTTGCCGTCAAAAGAGAGAGCGACATAATTACAAGCCAGTTACACACATTTTTCTAAGCGAATTTCTGTTCAAAATTCGTATGAAGACGACCCCTCTCGAAGAAGCTTGCATTATTGTTTAATTGCAATTAGTGCCAAGGAGGCAGCGGGCTCCAAAATGATAATAACGAGCCGTGTGTCGGTTCATGCATAATGCAAAGGCCGAGCATGGCCCACACATTGCAATTAAGTCGCAGAAGGCAGGCTCTACTGCGAGAAATCAAAGAACATAAACATTTTATATTTTGATTAATGTATTTTTGACTCTGTTAACCAGATATTATTAAAATACATAACCTATTCGATTTTGTGTTTCTATTTTCAAGCGGTTTTTTATTATTTTCTCTATACCATCATTAAATACTTATTCTCGTCTTTTAAAAGATCCTAGATGGTATTAATATTTATTTTCCTGACTCTTTCAGTAATGGAGTAGATTATAAGATTCGTTGATTAATATACACAGAGAACATTTACCTTTAAATTTTGTATGGAATGTTTTTGTAGTCCAAAATGCTTACTTTTAATTTAAAAATAATTCTGATACCCATTTCAAAAACGCTTAGCGAGATAGAGAAACTTATTCCGACAAAATGTTAAACCTTTTATTTAACTAATAAAACTGCATACTGCAATCAGGTGCTCTTTTCTCTCAGTGCATCACCCATTGTGACTGATTTGGGCGTGTTTCTGTTGCTGTTGTTGCTGCTGCGGATGCTGTCGAACGGCGTGTGGAAAGTATCTCTTTGGCAGCCAAGTCGAGTCGGGCCTTGAAGTGTGTGTTGCCACTTGAGTTCTCCAGCTGCTACTTCGCCGAGCTCTTGCCGTGCACCTCCTCCGCTTGGGCCCCCTTGTTCACTTCTTGGCAGGAGAGTGCCTGAGTCGCCTTGAGAGTGTGTTAGATTATTTTTATGTGTTTTTCTGGGGCCTTATTTTCGCATGCCTAAGTAGTTAGTTTAATAAATTGCATTGCTTAGGTAAGCGACGCCGTGACGTGCCCCTCAGGCGGGAGAAAACTTGACTTAAACAACAATTTACGGATTTTCATCATTTGAATTGCTAAGCAATTGCAAAAGTTTCCCTGAGTATTCATTGAAAAAGTTGATTTTTATTTTTGTCTGCTTACTGAACTAGCTCATTTTTGTGCCCCGTCCACAAAAAGCAATCTTAGCACGCTTCTTGCACATTTGGTGTGAATTTACCCACAGAAATACGTATACGCCGTGGTGGCTCAAATGCGCAGCACACAAGAAATTTCACCCCACTGAGCAAACAATACAACGCAAGAGTAATTAACAATTTACCAAAACCCACTCACACAATTGCAGGAAGTATTTCTGTGAGATGCATTTTGTGCCTTTCCAACGCTACCCATTTGCACAAACGTTAAAGTACCTACTTTTTCATAAATTTTTTAAAAACAACTGAAAGCGAATCAGAACAGAGGAAGAGAAAAAAAAAACACTTAGAACTCAAGGTTTTGGCACCTTGAATTTTAAGTGTTCTTTGCGAAACGTTCAAATTGTTGCAAAACAAAAAAAACAAGCCCCAACGAAACCAAATTAAATAGTTTTAAATCATGCAAACGACGACCCCAGAGACAAAAGGGGGGTGGTTGGAGCGGGGGAAAAGGCAACAACGGTGGCCGGAGAAATCAAATGTCAACTTGATGCAAGGACAACTGCAGCTGGAGAAGTTGTAACCAACGCTCAAGGCCAAATTGATCAGACCCGAGAGCCAGCGAGCTAGTGAAACTAGGTCAACACACCGCACAAATAAGTTGGCAGTAACACACCCACACAGCCACACACACCTACGCACACACACGCAAACACTACACACCAATGCAGCCTGATTCGAGCGTCCTTGAAGGAATTGTTCGGGCTCATACTTCATTCAATTATCTTGAATTTCGCTTTCAATTATGCCCGATTTGGCTTAGAGTTCCTTAACAATTAACATTTGAAATGTTTGCGACCACAAATTAAAATGTTGTGATGCATTATTGAATAACATGTCTTAATTTGTCAAAACCTTGAAACTATTTTCTGTTTTGTCAATTACAAAAGAAAAATTCCTTATAATTCGAAATCACCTAATTGTAAATTGCCAAAGGATATTGTAACTTTTCAAACATTTAATTCAAATATATTTTATTTTTATAAGAATATAAAAATTAAGATGGGTAATGTTATCTACAAACTAAAATAGTGGCGTAGTCCACAAAAGTATTTAAGGTTCATGTTAAAAACTATTACGGAAGTAAAAATCTCTGCAATAAACAAATGTTATAACTAGAAAGTTTAAATACCCCTGAAGAAACATAAAAAAAAGAAAGAAATGTAATTTATTACGTTATGACAGCTGTGGACATATGTGGTTTTCAAACATGATTTACGAACACAGATTGCAAAAGTTTCAAGTCCTTTCCTTTTAAAATGAGCTTGCCAATAGTATAACAACATAATGCCTACCAAAAATATATAAATGTTCTTTATAGGGAAGAAAACGCCTTAGCATATACGTCGCTACAAAATTCTGACCAAAATAACTTTGCAGAAGTATTTATATACTTGTCCTTAAAAGACAATAAAAATATTCTGTGACAATATAATTTAATTAAAATTTTTTTAAAAGCATTTCGGTACAGCCTGTTTAAAGAAACAAAATAGACATGTCAAAGGGGTAAAATGTTTCCCTTTGAGAAACACAAGTTGTGGTTCTGAATGGACTTGGTACTTTCGCCTTTGATTGTGAACTGAACTCTGTTAGCCGCTTAGTTGCTTATTAGTATCACTTGTCACTAGAACAAAGGACACTTTGGGCCGAGTCCTTCATGCCACACAATTGCATCCCATAACGTCACAGCACTACGCATTCCCGGTGGCCTGCACCGCCCTGAATATTAATGCTCATGTAATAAACACAATCGTTCACCTTGACAGCCTGTGGGTTTGGTCAGTTCGTCAGTGGTCAGTGGTCGGTCAGCGGTCAGTTCCAAGTGGTTGCTCGGCCATGCCAAATTCATGGCCTTTTCCTGCTCCTGCTCCTTGTCCTGCTCCTGATTCAGATTCTGTTCCTTTGGCGATTGCATAATTTAAATGCCATTCCGACATGGATTCGATTGCCGGCATGAGTGCGAGCAGCTTGGACCCAGGTTGAAACCACTGGCGACCCAATGCATTCATGAATGAGTTGACACACTGTTGGGCTCAAATTTTGCGGCTGGCCTGTCAATATTTGTCCCCTGGTCCAACTGGTCACACCTCTTGTTACCGTCTTTTCGCCTAATGGCGTGCAAATAGTTTTCACAATTGAGTTGTCAATTTATCAGCGCTCTTGGGATAGGACACTCGGTAGTTGGGTAGCTGGGTATCTGGGTAGCTGGCTAGCTGGACAAGCTCGTAAATTCCCCAAACTTTTTGCGCTCATCCCAAATATTTGCCGTTGCCCATTTTACGGTTTGTTTTAGCACAATGTACCCAGGACACTTCCGGCAGTTCCACCTTGCGTTCTCCGTCCATCTGTCCGCAGTGGAGGAGCCCTCACACAGTGGCACTTAATGACATTTTATGGCTGCCACCTAGGCCAGTCCGAAACCAGAGCATTGCGGAGAAGCCTGGCCAAATTGTGTGGGAGTCAACGCCATTTTCCGGAGGCCATTGGAGCAACTGTGTAAGAGCACTAGAATGGAAATATAATACAAGGTCTTAGCTGTCATACCTTAAATGGTTGGATTTGACGTGCATTATTCAATTTACATGCAACTACCGTGTTTTAGTTTTTATTGGGCGTATTACTTAAATTTAGTCTGATGTTGAATATTAATTTTGTCTCAAATTTCTGTATCAAGGTTTTCATAGAGACTTTGCTCATAATCATTAATAAATAAAGTCTTTTCTCGCATTGCAAATTTAAATATAACAATTTGTTTAAAATAAAACGCATTTCCAAGACAATTTTTATACTCAACACCAATAATAAAGGGTACCTTTTATGTAAGTAAAATTGTTTGTAGACATTAAAGTCCGTTGGTTTTAATGAATTTGTAAAAGCATAAGTAGTCTTGTATCTTAAATATTAATTATTTGAACACTTACAATAACATTAATTATGATTAATTAATTGTTGGCTTGAAATGAAAAGCAATTTATTTCATTAAGAAATTGGTAGACGGGAACCGTATGGAGTTGGAAACGTTTTACTTATAAGAAGGAGTTTAAAAATGGACAAGGTGCATAATATAAGAGTATATAAGTACGTGAGGAATCTTAAAGACTTAAGAGCTCTAGGGCAAGTAAGAATATTAACTACTCCAATTTGGTAGCTTTCATTGGCACATTATATCCCTTTCACTTCACCCACAATTCTGCTCAATGCCACAGCAAAAGCGAAAATTCGTTTCATTTAGAGTTCCGAAATGAATTCGACCAATTAACTGGCGGCCAAAAACTCATCATGCTGCCAGTGTACATGCCATTTTTTTTAATGGCTTTTCCTGTAATGAGCCACTCTGCCCAACTGCCAATAAGTGAGCCCGGTTATTAGTTTAATTTGGCAGAAAGTGCCATAAATCAGCGGCGAATATGATCCCCCACTTAATTGCAACACGTTTTCTCCCCCTCCCGCCTGCCATTGATTTTATTTCATTATTATTCCTCTTTTTGCAGAAAGCTGTCAAGGACCGCACGAGAAGCGGCTGCTGAACCACCTGCTCTCCACATACAACACACTGGAGCGACCCGTGGCCAACGAATCGGAGCCCCTGGAGGTCAAGTTCGGACTGACGCTGCAGCAGATCATCGACGTGGTAAGTGGTCGCAGAGGATCTGCCCCTTTTTTTGCCCAGCTAACATTTTCGAAAGCATCAAATAAGCAAGAAAAACTGAAATCTGTGAACAATCAGAAGCGTTCGCTTTGGGGCACAAGCTCCATTCGCTGTCGGATAATCTTCCGAATCGAATCAAATCGAATCGAATCGAGTCGAAACAAACAGAATTGAATTGAAATCGATGCATAAGACTAATGTAACGTGAACAGGCTAAGAATTAACAATTATTGATTGCGTCTCTTATAGGATGAAAAGAATCAGATTCTGACCACAAATGCGTGGTTAAATTTGGTAAGTGACATGTACCCGTCGTTTTTGTGTCACCATCACAACTATTTTTTTAGGCTTGTTTTCATTTCGACGGATTGTGATTTTCGTTTTTGATTTGAGGTTTCCGTTTTGGCAGGCGAAAAGCGACAAATTTTTGTATAACTTGCTCCACCACCAAAACCACAAATTTCGTTTCATTTCGTTTTCTCTGAATTTGTTTTTGGCATTCAATAATTATTGCCCCACGGGGGCTTCTTTATCAATAAATAAATACATATTTGCGTTTGCATATGTGTCGTCTCAATATGTCTGTGTATGCGTGGGTGTATGTGTGTGTGTGCGTGTGTGTGTGTAAATGCCTCAACAATTTTTCGTTTGTTTGTTCTTTTGACATTTTATTTTATAATCAAATGACGTCTGTTGGATACCGTTTAAACACATTTCAATTAAAAATACGTTAAAAACATACCCCACATGCAAAAACAGCACAAATTAAATCCAATTATAAAGAATTATAAATAACTGATAATGCTTTGATGGTGATTTAGCAGAATTTTATTTTCCATTTATTATAAAATTGTATTAACTGCGAAAGAAGCAGCATTATTTCAGTGCGTCATTAGAGGAGAACGAACCTTTTTGGCTAATCCCATCGCTTCGGATCTGAAACTTTTGATTTACACGAATTTCACTTTACCTGAACGTGATGGCGGGGAAATTGCCTTCTTCTGGACGAGGGATGACCGAAATGGCATTGCTAAATTGGCAGAAATTGCCGGGCATACCATAAACATAAACAAATAAATCAAAACAAAGGACCCAAAAGGACATAAATAAAATTTATATTTGCGAAGCGACAGCCATTTTTTCAGTGCTTTGTTTGTGCCTGGCCTCACCTGAAACTCCAGTTGCAATCGTTTCAGTCTTTTTCGACCCGAAACCATAAAGCGAAAACCATCGAGCTGCAGACAGAGCAGGAAAACCCTTTTCAAAAAAATTAATAGTACCTCCTACCTACACAATATCCATGTCCAAAGGCAGATTTATGTTTGCCCGTCAATTTTCAATTCCCCTTAAAAAAATCCGTTCTTTTTTCCCTAACAACTTTTGAATCTAACTAATTGTCGTTCCAATTAAAAAAAGAGGATGCTAACTTTGAACTACATAACAAAATTTTCAATTGATTGCCTTTAATGAAAACCGTTTTTGTTGACTAGCCACGTATTTAGGCGTTTTTATTCTAGATTGTTTCATCGTGTTTGGCTTTGTGTGATTTACATGGACATACATATTTATACATTTTCGATTTTGTTAATATTATTTTGTAATTTTTTTATCCATTTGGTTTTCCCTGATTGTGCAAACGTGAAATGAAAACATTTTATTTATTATTCCCCGGAAACATGCGGCATGCCGTGTGAATAAATGTGCTTAGTCGGGAAATTATATCCGCGTGGCAATGTCCGATGGCCACAGTTGCTTTTGCTAACCCTCTTAAAGCCCCATATTAAGAGCGGTGGGGATGGGTAATCACAGTCAAGTGCCAGAGGAATTCAAACCCATTCAGCTTAATTGATGTAAACGCTTCGTTTGAAAGTCACATTTGAATCAAATATATAGTTAAGCCACTAATTGTACGTTAGAATAAACAGTTACAGCTTAGCTGCATTCATTCAGTAAATCATAAATGTTTATTTCAAATAGCGTAGTTTCCCCCCTCCCCGCCCTTCCGGTGCTCAGAGAAAAGTAACCTTCGACCCGAATTAGTATGCTCCATTAAGTGCATTAATCGATTGACAAAATGATTTACAAGACTATTACTGTTAGCCACCCCACCACCGCCCGATTCCAATTATGTTTTACTTGCATTTAAATTTCAATCGCTGTGCGTGTGTGATGATTGTCTGTTGCAGTGAGAGATAGTGTATATGTGTTCTTTACGGATTATGTTCGATATACGTATATTTACCATATATTTTTGCTGGGTACATGTCATAAAGCGTTCTCTGATTTTACATATCTGAGTAAAAAGCAAAAGCAACAATTAAAACGCAACCAAAAACAAAACAAGCAACAAAGAACTAAAGTCGTGTCTTGCATGTTGTTTAAACGAAGTGCATTTAAAAAGTGAAAGATAAACCAAAAATTCAAAGTCGGTGTTTTCTTTGTATCTATATCTATACGTATATATATATATATTGCCATATAAATGTATCTGCATATTGCGCAACACAACTAACAACCTAAACAGCAAAACCTACTAAAACTAAAAAAGATATCGATGAAGTTATGGCTTTAATGTGCTTGCCCTTCCCTTTGTCTCGCCCCTGAACTCACGAATAAATTATACAATTAAAGCCAGAACATCTATGCACTCGCAAATCAAATGCATTTTAATTTACACGATTAAATATGTATGAAATAATTTGATTTATGCACTCGGCATTCGGACAGATGGATTTGCAGGGCAGGGGATCGAATAAAAAGGGGAATTGAAACCGCAGCGCGTTGATTTCCAGTGGCATAAATTATAAATCGATCCGAATGGAGATTTATGATTCCACGAGCCCTGATATTTTCAGCGGCACCCGGTCACAGTTTGGTCAATTACTCAAATTGCAGCAACTAATAATGAATGCCCTTCAAAAATTCCCTCTGATGAAGGGGATTACAGCCGGACCGACAATTGGCAAAGTTTTGCAATGGCCGTCAGGGATCCGGGCAACCACGTTCTCGTGGCAAACCAAAGGTTACTCCTTCGGCATTTCCTCCATTAAGATGATGATGATGATGGCCCGTCATGTCAGCCAGTTGCAACCGAATGCCATTGAGTTGCAGGAGCAGGACAAGAAGGGGCGTGGGTCAGGTCGAAGGCTCCTTTGGCAGGACATTAAAATGCACATTGTGGTCCGGGCATCGTCATCAGCATCAAAGTTAAAAAAAATAAAGTCATTAGCATTTTTCGGCTAACACCATGGCCCCACTGCCACTTCCCCCACTCGTTGTAACCTCTCGTCTAATGACTTGCCAGGTTGCAGCCACCACAAAGCCCCCTAAATGACTGGGGCTTTAGAAATATGTGTCAAAAGGAAATGGCCAAAGGCCACCCTCTCTAACGCTTTCCCAGTCCCCCAAAAAAACGGATGAAAGTGTGCTGGATTTTCGAGGGTGTGAAGCGAACAAGCTTTGATGGCGTTTAATCTGTTGTTCGGGGTGTGGCTCGAACTAAAAGTCAGGAATCGGAATCTAATGCAGATTATTTTTAAATCTGTGTGGAAATTTCGTTTTTCTAAGCTTGCAGAAAGGAAACATTTAGCTGATAATGGGCGAAGAATAATGAAGATTAATTCAGCAATTGATTTTTTAAGTTTGCATCGTTTAGGCACAAACAAAAGCCATTTAAACTGAACGACATGTAAAAGCAGTAATTATTTGGGTTTCGATTTTAAAGTCCACAATAATTAGAATAATTCAACGATTTATCGAATATTTTAAAAATTTTTTGTTACCACAGAGATTTGGAATAGGTTCTGATTTAGAATCATTAGATTTTCAACTAAATGTTTTCCTTAATTAATACACATTAAGCGGGGAACATTGTGGTTAAAGCTTAACACATTTTTAAAATAAAAAATATACAGTTTCGAATAATAAAATGTTTAGAATATCACTGAAATGTTCTTAAAGTTTTTTATAGCATACTTTTTAGGGAAATTTAATGTAATGCATTACATTATAATTGCCATTATAATGGCGTTGAATTTGTATGTACATGTACATGCTTAAAACTCATTCCTTAATTAAAAACAAATAAAATTAAATATTAATAAACTCCTAAAAAAAGAATGATTAAAGTCAGCCATCATCAGCAGATTCAACGACTTTGACTTATTTTGGCAGAGATTAGAAGTTGAGGTGGTGTCAAATCTATTAGCGTCATCCATTGACGCTTTGAAGCACGCCTTAAACCCATTATAAACATACTTTCACCAAAATTATGGCCCGCTAACACCAGCCAGAGTTCGACAAAGTCATTTGGCAGCGTTGAACAAACTGCCTCGTTCACTTATCACCCACTCATTTGTCTCGACTCGCACACACACACACACACACACACTTTAAGTGCTGCCAAGGCCAACAAACTTCGTCCTTGAACGGGCTGGTGTTAGTCTACTCTCGCTTTGGCTCATGTGCATAACCCATTTGTTAGGCAAACAGCAGCAACAAACTTTGCCAAAAAACATTCATTCATCACGGGAGTGTGACTACAAAGGAGGGGAGGGGGGGGGAGGTGCTATAAAGTCCGGGGATCTCGGATCGAGTGCCCGAAATCTGAAATCTGGATTGTTTGCCACTGCAGACGACAACGGCAATTGTTGGCTCATTAGAAACTCATTTAAAAACAATTTGGCACGTTAATGCAAAATAAATCTATAAGCTTATGCAGCAGGGAGCCGCAGAACATCCACGTAAATGTATCTGTATCTCCGTCACGATTACGCGAACGCGAACGCTTAATGCAGATGCGGAGTCTGCTGCAAATGGTGCTTTAAGTTTGGTTCCGAAAACGGCGAAGTGGAGGCAAAGTGTCATTAGTATGCGTCAATGTCAGGGGCTCACATCCACATCCACATCCACATCCCGTCACCGTATCCTGCTGTCATAAACATGAAATTTGCACAAACCCGCCATTTTTATAAGGTGTCAACAGCAAATATCGTGCCCACATACTCACAAACTCACTCCCGCACCGCATATTCAAATGTTGCTGTGTTGTGGCATTTGACGTGAAGAGGAAGTGCCTGCATATTGGTTTAAACGAAAATGCCAACCGAGTAGGGACATCCAGGTCACCAGTACAGACCAAGTCCCTGTCCAAGGATACTGCATATCATTAAAGAGTCCTGCTCCAGCTCCCCCTTCGCCCCCAAACAATCTCGTTTTTAATGGCTCAAGTCGTTACTGCAGCTGCTGCCAAACTCCCCCGCATTCATTTTTTTTTTTTTTGTTTTTTGGGTTCCTGTGGTTTTGGTTTCTCGTTCCTTTTTTTTCAGCGGCTGTGGGTTGTAACCATTTTTGTTGTTTACCCTGACAAGTTATTAATGACAGTCACCTTAGAGGGGCTTTCACATGCAGATCCGCTGGGTTTGCATTTCAAACGGAATTCGCTGAAGGCCACCTTGAATCCATCAGAATTGGATGGAGCAGACTGGACTGGATAGTTGGCGGCGGTGGATGACTGACAATGCGCCAGCATGAAATATCTTTAATTAAAATTTTGTATAAAGATAAATGGGTTTTGATACCTAGTTCAAAGTTTTTATTGCAGACCATCCTGGCTGAATGGTGGAGCCAAAGAATAGATATATTCCACACACAGGGAGGCGGGATTGTAAAGTAAATTGGCGCCATGGACAAAAGGATCCAAAGGCCCACCGACCAGCAGATTGAAACGGGGCGGGCATGATTCGGATTGAGATTGAGATTAGGCTTCAAGGCGAGTGGCTCAAAGCTGCTTTGGGCCAAAAAAGTTTTTGATAGCATTTCGTTCGGCTTTCTCGGTCTCTGTGCAAATTGAGTGATGATGGGAGATGAGACAAGTTAATTGCAACAGCCCCAAAGAGAACGATAAATGTTTACTTACCATTGAAATAGTAGCCGAATTTAAGGAAGCTGTAGCACATTTAAGCCACAACTTCATTGCGTGCAGAGCTAGTGGAGATTAAACTAAAACATCAAAAAATCTTATTCATAAACGTCATAAAAACAGATGCTATAAATAAATGAAAAGAAGAAAAAAACAAAAAGCTCAAAAAGAAAAAACCCTTATAAAACTCATAAAACAAATTTATAAACCAAAACTTTCTTTTATCATGCTCTGCTCTTTTTAAACTTTTGACTTAAATTAACTTTTTGGCTTTCCTTACGTCTTACTTACTATTACTTTCCATTGTTGGTCTTGCGTTGAACTTGATTTTCTTGTGTTCTTTGGCGTTAACAACAAAACAACCAAAATTCGTTCCAAATGCGTTTGTAGGACGAGAAGAATCAGCTTCTCATAACGAATCTTTGGCTTTCGTTGGTAAGTCTTAACTAAAACTCGCCATCATAAATCATAAACCTAAACCCCAAGTTAAATACTTACTTATAGCTTAAATCGTATTTTAAATAATGTGTAATCGCTTTAAACCTATTTAATCATAAATCAAACATCTCGGACTCTTTCTGGTTCAGTCCAGCAGAAAGTACACATTCAATCCGCCAAATTCAAATCCCTCTAGTTAGTAGTACTGACAGCTGGACTTGGCCCAGAAAGAGTTTGTCCTGATTATAATTTAAACACACACGGTCCTAACATGAAGTACCATGAAGTTAATCCTGCTTTCGTTCCTTGTTGAAAGTTTCATCTGAAATACTGATCCCTTAACTTTCGTTGTAAAAAACACTTCATGTAACCACTGTTTTTCCGACTCTTTCTCTCTTTACCCTTATATCTCTCGTTGAGATTGGCTTAGTTCGTGTGTGCGTTAAATTATTTAAACATCATCACTTAAATAACTACCATTAAATACAAGCTTAAATACTGTAATAACTCGCTTACTTAAATACAAACCCACATACTCACAGACACAGCTAAATAAATACTTTGATTTCCGCTATTTCCTTTTTATTCTCTTTGAATTTATAACTTTTCTACCTAGAGATCTACAATGGCAACTAGTTTTTTTTACAGCGAATAATCTTTTTGACATTTTGGTTTAGAACTCGGTGCGAGTTAGTTTCAGTTTCCTTTCAATTAAGAGCAACTAAAAATCAAACACATAAACCGAACCGACCAAAAAACATAACTCTAAACAGAACCTAACCCAGCACAAAAAAAACACACAACAAGTGCATGTCAAGAGATCGCATCGTGTAATATGCCCCATCTGTGTTTGTTCGTACTGCATGCCCTGCATTTACTTTGTGTGAGATTGTTTGCGAGTGTGCCTATCTTTTGTGTGAGTGGAAAAAAGGTGATATATGCACGACAGCAGCCAGCGGAAATGCTTTTTTTGTCGTACCTTACTCTCATTTCCGGCATCGCTCCTGTTACCCCGTCAAGTCCTGTCAATTTGCGAAATTAATTAAATTATTTATTTAACACGTAGAGTGCGCAAGTACTTTCATCACTGCCGACTGATCGAATACATCCCGGAACGGGGGTCTATAAATTTTAGTAATTTCGAAATTGCAATCAAACACAAAACACACATAAAATGACGCATCTGGACTAGTGCAGTCTGCAGTATTTATGATTGATGGCTGGTCCTGGCGAGGCGTTTATAAACTGTCGGTATTTTTCCCCGAAATGGTGTTCAAATGTTTGTCAATTTGCCACTCGCAACCACAAACAGGCTGCTGGAATTCCAAATGCCAGTCCTTCCAGCTGTCGATGGTGCCAGTCAACCGATTGTTGTTCTGCTCGACGGCCCAATTATGCCGTCAAATAGCAATTAAAACCGATAAATGAACGCAAAAGCCATCAGACACAAAACGCGACCAGAAAGCGTACAAAAAATCGATGGCTATTGACTAGGCAATAAAGGGAACGAATTTCAGCAGGGCAAAAACCTGTCATTTTATATTATTTTAGAAACGTTCAAAATGGTTTTTGTACTTTTTAATATGCAGATATTAATTTAAATAAATATATTTTTTCATAGTGCCAAAGGCACTAGAGTATAAAATTGCTACGATTATATTTCACTATAAAAAACCCAGAGCCATTTGCTAAAGTCTCATTAACAAATTAAAATGTTTAAAAAAATACTTAAAGCGGCGAAATGTAACTGCGTTTTTCTATATTCAATCTTTGCTGAATTTTCGCATTTCGCCACAAGCAAATTCGATATAGACCCCAACGTTTAGACACGCACCAGTAAATGTGAGATTCGCGGTAACTATTTCGCAAAATAATTGCCACACTCTCGCATCAAAATCTGTGTCCTTCCGCCGGCATACAAAGCGGTGAAATGTTTTTAGGAGCATTCTGCTCACCTCCAAATGGGATGCCCCAGTCGAGGCATGAGGCATCTGTTTTTACAGCTGCCATAAAAACCGCACACAATAACGGACGGCAGTGGGGCAAAGTTTAAACTGTTTTAAAGCAGACCCGGCACAGATGCAGATACTCGGCCCGGCACTCGTATAATTTAATGCAGCACGAGGCCATGGCATGTAATTAAATTTTTGTGATTTAAAAAAGGGATTGTGTGCAGCTTCCGGGCAGAGCGACGGTCCACGGGGGTCGGCGAGGACAATTGCTTGCTCTAAAAATGCCACAAATGTGTTAAATTATAAACATAACAGAGGCAGCAACAACAACAGCAGCAATAGAACGAACATGAGCCCGGCAAAGGAGGAACTAAGTAGAGGGGAAACTTTGCCGCTTTTATGACACGAACATGAACCACTTGTAGGAAAGCCACAAAACGCAACGACCAGGGGGAAATTCAGGACGAGGGACAGAATCGCGTTGCAGGCAACCGCAGAGTGACACAAAGTACTGAGCAACTGTTTGACTACACAACGAAAATCAGCAAGGAATTGTAGATATCACAGTTTATTTCTGCTAAATTTGAACTTTAAATTATAAATAAAGTAAAAAAACAAATCAGAAATGGAGCCCTTAACCTTTTTAAAGCTATAAAAGATGTTATAAATATAATTTTGAAAGGCCTGATCAAGTAAATACTTAAAATTCTTTAAAATATCTTTAAAGTTAGTTCATCTCCTATTGGATATTTTTTTCTAGTAAGATATAATTTATGTGCTATAAAACCTTAAAAAGAGCCTGAGCCAATAACTGATACCTATTATTGTCCAGTTTTTCTCGCCGTGTACCAACAAACAGGATCAGAAAAGAGCAAACGAGAAACGTTGATAAAACTTGTCTCATATGTGGTTCCGCAGACGGGGTGGGGGGTTGACTTAGCCTGAAATTGTTGTCAAGTTGCACATTGTTGTATAATGCAGCCAGTGTGTGTGTACGTGCTGCTGTGTGTGTGTGTGTGCTGGCATCCTTAAGCGCAACAGCTTGCCAATCAGTTGGCAAAAAGATATGGAGCGAGTTGGCCATCTTTTAGTCTTAGCCTAGTGCGTATTGGTAGTGGTAGTTCGTAGCTTGCATGTGTGTATGTGCATGTGCTCAGCAGTTGAGTAGATTTCATTTCGGAGTCCCTACTTTCTTTCCAACTTTCTTTTCGTACTCTACCCCCAAAAAAAATAACCAGAGAAATCTGTTTTCTTTTCCAAACATCACGTCGCATTTTTGTTTCAATTTTTAGACATTTAATTTGATAGCAATATATGCATTGAAACCACTCAAGCCCTGTGCAATCATTATTAAAACTTATATAACATGTCAACGCAGGAGTGGAACGACTACAATCTGCGCTGGAATGAGACGGAATATGGCGGGGTCAAGGACCTGCGAATCACTCCCAACAAACTGTGGAAACCCGACGTGCTCATGTACAACAGGTAAGTGATCTGTGTCCACTCCGGCCGGACTCGAAGTAACCGTAACCGAATAGAAAGGCTATCGCAGCCCCACATGAATCAAAGAAACTAATCTGAGAATCAGTATAAAGTGTTTGCGCAATACATAACCAGCCATAGAGCAGACTTAAGTCTAGGCATAGGCCCGTTTAACTCACAATATGTAACCCAATTAATCACTGTATTACTTGAACAATGGTAAGTTAGGCTGACCAAATAAAACCACAACCATCCAAGTCGATTCTTAGGATGGATCCCCAAAAAGAATTTACGTTATCGTTTCGTTTTGCGTTCAGTTATAGTTATAGTTAAACTTAGAGTATACGAATACATTTACGTAGTTGAATTGTGCACTTTAGTTGAATTAAAATAGATTACTAGTTTACCATTAGAACTCCGGGTGTTGTTATCCATCTGATGATGGATACACCGCAAACTTTATGGGTCTGTTGAATGGGTTTCAAAATGGAGATATACAAAATAATATACTCCATTTCAAACTATAACAATCAACAGACCCAGTAAAGTCAATTGTTTGCCTTCCCTTAGTTTAGTTTATGATATTGTTTGTACGGTTCGATTTGAGTTGGTTTTTGAATTGAAAACGATAATCCCCAGCATATTTGATATGTTTGCATACACTTTAGTTATGTATGTCTCCATATCCATCCATACATAATTATATAGCTATTATTATAAACGCATCATAATCCACTCGCTATTGTTTGTGTGTCTATTTGTAAACAATAAAATAAAAACAACTACGAAAATCGAAACAAGCCGCAAGTCAAACAAACATTATTGTTTTTGATTTGGGGGCTAAATCGACTTTTCCTACCCGTACATAATAATATTTGTGTTTCAATGTTACCCACTTATGATTTGCTTTCAACGTTTTCGTTTCGAAAAGTGACTTAACCAAAAAAAAAAAGGAAAACAAAAAAAGAAAAAAAAAGAAAAAACAGAATAATTTACATTTGTTTACTTCAATAAGAGTAGTTTACACGCAGTGGTTGTCTAGTGGGACTGTACATTGTCAGCTTGCCGTTGATGTGGGCCTCACATTGTAATTGGATTCGTAATGCTAACCGAACGTTGTATAACACATGAAATGCCTGAGTTATCCAGCATTAACTAAACCAACCATCAAGCCATAAAAGCAAACTAAACCAAAGACGAAGTAACCGCAAAACAAGCTAAATAATCGCCCAGACTAAACTCCAACAACTTAAACTTTGTTTAACCAGAATATTGCGCAAGTACTTTGTTCGAAACAGCCCGGGTCAAGGGTCAAATTCCTGGAATCGGGGACAGCGGTCTGTGGTCTGCTTCCCAGCCTCAAAGGCTCACACTTAGACTTCACCTTAACTCAAGCCCGAGTCGAAGTCCTCTCGCTCCATTTCCGAAAGACAATAACCTCCTCAGAGATTGTTCAACAATATGCTGGTGTAATATTTCTGGTTAGACGTTCAGTACTTGAATTTATTTGGCCGACAACAAAACTGTAAAGAAATAATTAAAACCGAAAATGGAAAAAAAAAAATGTTTTTTGTCATTCTCATACGTAGCCTGCAAAAAACAAAACAAGAAACCATCTAGACCATCACAAAAAAAGGCAAAATAGATTTTCAAGTATTGTGCATGAGAAATCAAATCCCTCTTACTAAACAAAAGACTAAATAAAACCGCATAAAAATAATACCAAATGCAAAAAATATTTAACCTAAATCCCCACCTCATCCCACAACTAAAAGTCGTGTGGCCCAGCAAGGTGCCAAAAAGACTTTCACTTTGCCTGGGCACCACATACCACCACCCAAACCACCTCGAAATAACCCACCACCCACCACCCACATTCCATATACACACACAAAACACTTCAAAGCAAACACATTTAAATTAAATGTATTAACGACAAGTTAAACGTATTAAAATAGAAAATCCATCCCATATTAATCTAAGCTAAAGCTAAATACATTCTACTAAACCGAGAACTTGGCTAGACTAGCTAAGCATACCCATCAAGTTAATGTTAATCCATTGCACCAACAGCTATTTTCTATCACAAATTAATTACCGAATATCGATCGTCTCATCTAAGCATTTAAAACTAATAAACATCACATGTCAAGCAATATAAGTAACGAAAAAAACAGTATTATAAACTATTAAACACTCTCGTTTAATTGAGACTCCGAAGAACCTTCCGTGAAATAGTCCAGAATACAAAAATATTATTGTCTGTTTAATATTTATTAATCTGTATAGAACTTGAAAACAAATTGTTCAGTAACTTGGAGATGAACAAGCTTCACGAAAAGTTGTCTTTTAAAAAACTTGCCAACATTCCAGTCTCAATTTTTCATTTCCCTTAACAAAGATTTTTCTGAAAGTTTTCCGGTTTTCTGTGAACCAAAAATTTTAAGACGCTAATAGACATTTTAAAGCGCGTCAACAACTTTATTTAATTCAGTTCTGACTAAGTGTCTTTAGATTTTACAAAGCGGAAGGTTCATCTACATAGTTTATAATCCCAAAAGAAAATACTTTAAAGAACGCCCATACCTGAACAAATCAAATTTTAAATCGCTTTCACTAAATGTTAGTCTTTATGTCCAACTAGTTAGTCTAGAAGTGTGACTGTGTGTGTGCTAATTTAAACAAAACAAGAATCGCACCACGCTGAACTAGTAATTATGCCCATAGCCATACATTCATCATCCGCCCCGTAAGCCGTTGCGACAACATTTCAGCAACATGGCTAACAATAATTGCAAAGGGAGTACGAATTACAAATGTTTTCGGACTCCTAACTCGTGTTAGATGCCCGCATTCCAGTCATTTACTCATCGAAATGCCTTGAATAATTGCCATTTCATTTCTCATTTTGCCATTTTCCATTTGGTTCGCTTTTAAAATGTCCGCTTCAGCGTGTGTGTGTGTGTGTGTGTGCGACCGAGTGAGTGTGTGTGTGTGAGTGTTTGTGCTTTGCAATCACCAAAGTAATCAATTGTTATCGGTGTGTGCTATATATCGTTCATTTTAGCTATTTGTTCACTGTGTTCCTAAACAATAATAAATAATAACAAGCTCATGTTTCTCGGTTCTTGCTCGGTGTCCAGTTATAATCATCTCTATATACCCACCCCAACTATTGCTGTATACTAACTAACCCATATCTATATCTGTGTCTAACCGTCTAATTACCCTCATATATGCCTATATTTATATCCAAATATATTTTATCCTCTGTGTGTGTGCGTTGTGTGCATTGATGTGTCAAGAGCCAGGCATCGAGGAATCATTTGCCATACCCATTAAGTCTGCGTAAGTTAGCCTAAGTACCCGTGTAAGCTCCATCCGGTTGCATGCTGCCCGAAATCCCCGCCAGAAATCTCAGGTTAGTTATAAGACCGCAAGCCGAAAGACACCTAATGAAGCAGCTGTGACTCCAGATGATAGTTGCAGTGTCACATTGTCCCGAAGACAAATGACTTCAAAGGAGCAACTCTATTTCTCTAAATTTAAATCTCATCCAGCGTTTTTCTGCCAACGGAATTATCTGACAGATACACATATACGCTATGCCGAAAAAGTTTCCATGTCCACCAGTTGCCGGCGCCCCAGCAAAAACTTCATTATGATATTTCCATTTTTTGCCCCAACTTTTCCGAATGCGATTGCAGCGAATCCTTTCTGGGGATAGGCGAAAAACGAGTGAGCCAAACAAATCCGTGTCCACCCGGGGGAGCTTAAATATTTTAAGCCATAACTTAAACGTCAAAATTTGCTGCCACATCCCCCTGGCCAACGGGCTTTTGGGCAGGTGCCGACTAAAAACAACTTAAATGCCACAAGTCCCAAGGCACAAAAAAGGCAGCAGAGTCGCACGCATTTAGTCCGGCTCAAACTTGGGCCGCAAATGAAGACAAACTACCACATACAAATGCACCTGGCGGAGTGTCAACTCGGCGGACCTCGGCCTGCAGGTGCATTTGCAGAACTAATTGCAATTTATATTTGCCACCGCACTGCAGCGGATTGGACGGGGAGTAAGCTTATTTAACCTAATGGGGCCCCCAGTCACACACGGTTTACGGTTGATTGACGCACGGGGCATGTTCTCTGAGGCGCCAGAGCCCCGCAAATGGAATTTACATGTCACCCGAGAGCAGGGCAAACAAAAAAAGCGAGTCGGGAACAATGAATCAAAACACGTACCGTACGCTGCTGGTTTAATTTCCATGGCACGCAGCATCCGGCGTTGATTTCGCAGGAAGAGGCATCGAAAGGACCAAGACGAAAGCGGAGACAAAGGACGAGGCCTACGCGAGAATGGCTGGAAATAAAAATCATATTGATTAGCCGGGCAGTCGCATAGCCATGGGAAATCAGTGGATGGCCGTGGAGCCATTGGGCGTGGCCCTTGTCGTCGCCCCTTGGAGAAACCTTTCGGCTGTCAACTTTGTTTGCTAATGAACTTGCACAGAGTCCGGGGTTCGTGTCCCGGCAAAAGAGCCAAGTCAAACAAAGGCTCCTTTCGCAGTTTGCAAAGGATTCGGCGAGGATTCGACTTGGTTTGGGGGACAGACATCGCCCGACAGACTTTTACTTCGTTTAATTTATTAATTCTTCTCCCCACTCGCCTCACATTCGAACCTAATTTGTATGCGTCGCCAGCGCTGCTAATGTGGGGCCATCATTTAGATCAATAGCAGGGCATTCGCAGACACGGATACACAAAAAGTTCCAGATGAAGATACATGGCTGGAGATTGGAGATTGGAGATTGCCGACTGGCGATTGGCCTTGCCTCATTACTGAGCCTTTTTCTGCGAATCAATCGACTGCGTCTGCTTTTTGTATCATTTACTTATGCTGATTTCGGCCATGGATTGCGATTCATTCCATTCACGGCTGCTTAATTGAGATGCCGGACCTTAAACCACCAATGCTGGCAATGGAAAGCTTTCACTCTAATTGCAACATTATCTGTATTTTTCAAAGCAGACGAAGTTGGGAGTAAGCCGCAGCCGAAGGCCCGACCCAAATGAAACTGACAGCGGTGTCGGCTTAGTGCCGTGGCGTACCTTGCCCCAAAACCGAATCGGGTTGAGACCAACGTCAATATTAATAAGGCCCGACAGAAAAATCGGGAAAGCGAGGCCGGAAAAAATACAGGCGAAAATTTTACTTTTCGAAATTAAAATGATTTTCAATGGGGGCAAAGTGATGAAGGTTGCGCCGGCCCAAAAGGATTGACGTGCCAATTACGGGCGGAAATTCGTATGTGCTTTAACACATTCGCTTTATCGAGTTGCTTGGCCATATCAATTAACTGAAATGCAGCACAATACATATACTATATATTGGGCACGCCCAAACCGCAATCTCTTAAGCCCGAGTAGGCAACATCTGCGCTTCGGTTTCGGATTGATCTGCCGCTAATCAGCGTACAAATTCCCCTTAAATGCCGCAGCAGTTGCATGTAAGCCTCGTTATGGGGGGAAACACGCCCCAACGCCCCGAAATACCCACTTCCAACCATCGCCTGCCTCAACCTCTGGCTGTCACCCCGCATTTTGCCATCATGAATCCCACGTCATTGCCTCTTTGCGGTGACCGAAAAATGCAAAACAAAATTGTCCACAAAATGTTTACGCAACATTCTCGGTACTCGAGTTGAAATCAGAGCCGTAATTGCATTTTATTGCAGCTTTCGAGGGCAAAAGCAGCAGCAAAGTCAAGAGACACTCATACATAATGCACGCAAATATACGATATATTCACAGATGGGTTTTATATATAGCATGCTTTGGCCACATTTTTGGAGTATCTGCTGGGGCTCATTTGCATATGCGCATATTGGCAGAGCGGCAGTCTGAATAGTGGATAGTGGAAACTGGATACAATGATACTTGGCTGCAAAGATATTTGTATCTGGGCAGCCGCAGATTGCCATGGCCAATGCCATTTGCCAGTCCGTTCTCGAGTGTTTTGTGGCGAGTGCGAGGCAATAGGAATTCCGTTCGGGTCGTCAAACGCTTGCTGGGATTCATTATTGTAAGCACCCAAGGACATAGACAAACTCCCTTGATATACATTAAGCAGAGCTTCAAGAACTAAAATCCCCTACATCTTAAGTAAATCTATAGATACCTATGTAAGTCTGCCTCAAGTAGAGATTGAAAACCACTAGGTTACCAGACACACAACAACCAGAACAACAACCCAAACACAAAATCCCCCTATGATTCCCCGTATAGAAATACAATTCCCAGCTCTAGTTCCCCAGAGCACAGTCCAAAACAAAAAACATTTTTAAGTAGTTATGAAAGAAGAAAATGACAAACCAAAGCGCAAGTCACAAATAACCAGACAAAGATTCGATCAAAAGCATAACCAATAATAACAGACAAAGAAACCTTAAACTGATAACCGATGAATCGAAGAGATTAGTAACTTGATAAGCGAATAACAACCAATCGATCGAGACAATAATCCATTAAAACAAATTGTACAATAATCTAGCGCGGATGAGGGATTCGATGGCACGTATCACACCAACATTGTGGTCAAACATAACGGCAGTTGTCTGTACGTGCCCCCTGGTATCTTCAAGAGCACATGCAAGATAGACATCACGTGGTTCCCATTTGATGACCAACATTGCGAAATGAAATTCGGTAGTTGGACTTACGATGGAAATCAGGTAAAGTGGCAATCGACAAAATACACAGCAAGAACAAGCAAACAGTAACCAACAGCAACTAGTTCCAATAGTACAGTGAACGCTGGCTACACTAGGCTACTCACCTTACTCACACTATCACACTAACACTCGAACACTCCAACACATTCCAACTCGAGCACGATCACGCTTCTGCCAATCACGAGACTCACGCACGAGAAAGCGCGCGGGAAGTTTAGATCGCCGAGAGTTGACTGTAGCCATACGAAAAGTATAGAGAGTATAGGATAATTGATAGGTTTAGGACGGATTTGTAATTTCGTTTATATGCTTTTCCAAACTTCTATCTCTCTCTCTCTCTCTCTCTGTCAATCTATCGCTATCCACCCGAATGTATCTTCTAGTTTTTAATTTGTTCGTTCGTAAACCTCATGTCGAACAATTCTTTGCGTTTTTGCGAATTACAAAACCAAAAGATCGGAGTGTTGTTAACAACACTGAACTGTAAGAGGTCCAGTGTGTCGGCTGAAATATTCAAAACAGATGGTATCTGGAAAATTGAGTATTTTATGCCAACACGCACACGATGAGCTTATCTCAAATGGCAGCCGCTCTCAACACTGACATTTGACAGTGTTGGCAAGTTGTGTTAGCCTCTCGTATAAAGTCCCCCAAAATGGAATCATGTGTGGAAACCCTAGAATCTTTCACCGCAGAGAACTTCTGAAGTTTCAACTATTTTGCATGGTAGCAGGCAAAAACCACGCCCAAAATAAAACAGCAACAGGCGAATATTTTTGGACGACGTAAAGACTCTTAATGAAAGTCAACAAAAAAAAAATAAACATAGTTACACTTAAAGTAAAGGATGTTTGAGAACATCTTTAATTTACAGCGCTTTTATTTCCCACGTATTTTGCACCCACAAGATAACAACAAACCAATCTCAAAACAAACGAAAAGAATAAAAAATTCTATATTTTGCTCGCTCTCTATCTCTTTCGTACACCTCGAACACATGCTATATCTGTACATAAATGTTGTTTCAATGTGGCTTATTGTAAAAACTCTAACCAAAATTCTACAACAAACTAAAATCTTAAATGTTCTCTTTCTCCAATAAAAAAAAACTCAAACTCAAACTCAAAACTCAATGACCAACCACCAAAAAAAAAAAATATGTAAAAATTGATTTGCTTATTGCAAATTGATTTCCATTCTCTGTGAATACCCATGAAAAAAAAAACAAAACAAAATATCGTTTGAAAATCAGTTGGATTTGGTTTTGAATTCCGAAGATGGAGGGGATCTTTCCGATTTCATAACAAATGGCGAGTGGTACTTGCTTGGTTAGTAAACAAACCTCATTATGCTTATTTCTCTAACTGTTATTTCTGTTTGATCGTTGTCATTTGTAAATGTCTTATCAGCATTACCTCAATTGCAAAAGAAATCCCATTCGTTTATTATTTAAAACATTGCTTGCGATATCGAAAAATTGCTTCATAGTCTATTATGTTTTGCCTAGCTCTTTATTATTTATTCGATCTAGTTTTACGATTAAATTGTACATGATCTCGATTGCAAGACTAATCTGTAATATCTGTTGTACATACGTGTGTCATTGTGTCTGTATATACATCTATGTTTGTGTCTCTGTCTCGATCCACAATATCCTTGTCCGAAGCTCACTAATCCAATTTTATCGTTCAGCCATGCCGGGAAAGAAGAACACGATAGTCTACGCCTGCTGCCCCGAACCATATGTCGATATCACCTTTACTATACAAATACGTCGCCGTACATTATATTATTTTTTCAATTTAATCGTGCCATGTGTGCTAATCTCATCGATGGCCCTTTTGGGCTTCACATTGCCGCCGGACTCGGGCGAAAAGCTGACGCTGGGTGAGTATGCCAAACGAGTCCTCTTTGTCCAGACACAGAACCACCTCACAAACCAACCGATCTGAACTGTATTATCCTATTTTCTAAATGAACTTTGTGAGTTTTTCAGCGGTGATTCCCTAATTCCGAAATCAAGTTCGAATCTTTATATGCATAGATGTCTGAGTTAGTTAGTTAGGCCCCGGCAGGTTATCGAGTTCGGTGAGGTCAAGCAGCAAGGGTAGCGAAATGAGGCTTAGCTGGATTTAATTACCAAACTTAAACCTAAAACCCAAAAAAAAAGAAAACCCCTTTAAAATCGACGTATTCAACGCTGCTTCTAACGATAGTCAGTCTATGCATGTTCTCTGTTCAGTTTTAAACTAAAGTAAAAAAAATATAATCAAAAAAATCCAACGAGTGTTTCCTTTTTGAACAATTAATATTTGAAATTTTAAAATATCAAAACATCTTCAAAACTCTTTTATCGATAAAGGGAAACACTCATTTTGTGCTACTAAAATGAACTAAAAGTCCCTGCTGTCCCGTGCAAAGTAATAAAAATAAACTCCCCTTTATAAACTCCATGAACAACCCATCCCCATAAAGGAGTAAAACTAAAACCTAAAGCTGATGAGTAAAATGTGTAAAAGTTTTCCTAATTTTTCAATAAATATTTACTAATGATAAATCTTATTACGTAATCTTGGTATTTCAGTTTTCCGATGTGTTTTCCGTTCTAATTTGATTTAAATTGCGTTTTACATTTATTGTATCTCTTGTTGCAGGCGTAACTATACTACTATCATTAACAGTATTTCTAAACCTTGTCGCCGAGTCCATGCCGACAACGTCGGACGCTGTTCCTCTTATAGGTACACACACACGCTAATTAAACCGCTATAGCTATAGCTCAAAGTACGGACCGATCGGTCGAGCTATCGACCACTACTAACAGTGGCGAACAGAAAGTCGTGCTGTGCTAATGCTGTTTTTAGTTAATCATTAGTTTTGCTACAGTAGTGCAATGAACTGAGAAACGAAAAAAAACCAAAACCAAAAAACCAAAAACTAAAAACTAAGCCACGAATACTAACAAAAGATACCGATCAGAAACGAAAACGAAATACCAATTAACTTAGCTCTCAACACTTCTGTAACTGTCTTCTGCCACACACCCACACAACAACCCCCCCTCCCCCACCGGAAACCCACACAGCGGAACTCCGTAACACCCCACACGAATGAGGAATGATCAATAACTCTTAACTCTCCGTATGTTTGCTATAGATCTATCTATATCTCTCTGTAATCTCTGGACTCTCACCTCGTGTGCAACCACCGAACATCTGGATGTCGAATAGACTAGCCACACGTACTCTATGTAAACCCCGTACACACCACGGCCAACACTGAACCACCTCAGAACCACTTTCCAAAGTACCATGTAAAGTACTCGAGTCGAGCCCGAGGAACTCTTTCGCTCTGTCTATCCTAAGCTTTTCTCTCGCTTTTCCAACTAACCTTAGCTCATGGTCTTGCCAGTCTTTACTAGTTCTTTATTCTAACCACTCAATCCCATCGGGCTACCTGAGGGTCTCCGATAGCTCTGACATAATTGGTATTTGACCACACGACAAACACAACACCAGAACCAGTCCAATCATAGTCACAATCACAATTACAATTACTGCCACAATAACAGCCACAGCTACAAGTACAAATACAATTAAGAGAGTTTTTCGTTTCAATTTTGCTGTGTTTGCCCAAAAAGCCGTCCTATATAATCGGTTCCTCAGTTATTTTTGTCGTTATGTTGTTGCTTCGTTTGTTCGATTGTTTGTTGGATTCGTTTGCTTATCTACGTGTGCCTCTAGCTGATCCCTTTGTTTTGATCGTATCGTTTCGTTGGTCTCTTCAGTTCTTAGCCTGCCACCCTACCAATGTTGAATATTTAAACCGAACCGAGTAACGCCCCGATCATCCTGTAAATAAGCTTGTCCTTAGTGTGCGCTCGCCTCATAATCACGCTGGGACGAGTCCTCCCACCCCTCCTCGCCCAGTCATTCCCTTCCGTCAAATCATCCCGACTCTGAAAGCATAGCAGCATTTCAAAAACCGCATCAAAAACGTAGACGAAAATGCAATTAAAGAAAATGTATTTTAAATATAGCCACAACTGTATATATACACAAATATCTAAAAAGAAAAACTCTAAAAAATCCAACGAACCACCTTTTTTCGCTACCAAAAAAAAAAAGAGGAGGAAAACCAAAGCCAAAAAGAAACAGCAAACCAGAACCAAAAACCAACTAACTAACTTACAAAAAGCCCAACAGCTGAGTTAACCAGTTTTTCATTTTTTTTTTTGGTATTTTTCTTAGTCCGGTCAGACAAAAACACCAACAAACCATTAATAGAACAAGAGGGAAAGTGGTGGAAGGATTGTAGTGTGATTGGGCTCAAGGGCAGGCAGCCGCAGCTGAGGACGGAGATGGAGAGTGCCAAATAAGCGTACCAAATGCACTTACACTCACGTCCCGCACTGTTGCTGTCAGCCCGTGGGAACTCCATCCTATCCTTGGTGGCCAAATCGAATGCCAATTGCAATAGCTAACCACCAGAGACCTCGGAATGCTGCCTCGTAGATTCGTTTCCCAGATTCCGTATGCCTGCAACTCAATAAATTTAACGTGTACAAGTTAGTGAATAGAACCGCAGCTATCGTAGAGGTGGCTGCTGAAGCTCAATTTTGATACTTGGCTTGGTAGAGAGGAATAGCTAGCGGGCCAGAGCCTGACATACTCGAACCCCCCCTCAAGCACACGAATCCCGTTACCGTAGAGGCCTCGCGGTAGGTATAGCTTAACCAATGAGTTTGTATCGCTTGAGCTGTACAAATACGCCTTGGGGCAGTCCAGGGCTGCCCTCGAAACTAAGCATCTATGTTAACCAAATGACTATATATATTTCGACACCGATCACCCACAATACCGAACACTGTAAATAGACAACACGCTGAACAGACGTAAGTACAGCAGCCACCCAACAGCCCAACCACCAAGCCACCGAACCACCAAACCACCAAAACCACCTGCCCCCAAACAAGACCACCACAACACCACAGAACCACCACGAAAAGAACAACCAGAACTTTTGTCAAACGCCGCCACACGAGCGCATGCTACTATAAAAAAAGAGGCTAGAACCGAAAGCAATCCAAAGCTTTACACCTTCTCAACACTCTGTCCCAATCCTCTTTCGCTCTCGCTCTTTCAGTATATATACCAGTTTGTCAATATCCATATAGCTACTATATCTCTCCTTCTTGTTTCGTCAAGAGCTATTTGAACTTGCACCTACTTACTCGCAAGAAACAAATCGAGTTTTCACACCTACAACCAACAACCAACAACCATTAACCCAGCCACCAACAACACCAAAACTAATCTAGCTCTTCTTGCTCAACAACCTGGAAATGTATCTATAAATATAAACCGCAAAAACCAGTCATTTGCAACCCGTAAACTCCTGGCATCTAAAACCAAACCCTCGAACCATATAGAACCGTAGCGCTAAACGAATTTTCACCTAAACGATAAACCCTAAATGAAACCAAAATCGAAGCAACATTTGAACTTGCATTTATGCAGATCCATTTGATCAGATGGTAGAGTTGCAACTCCACATAATATCGTATCGTTCATGATGTCGAGCCCATCATGCGTTCATATTATGTCATGTATCTATATATATTAACCCGTTCCGATACCGAATCCTCCACCTCTAACAGCAGCCCCAGAGACTTGACAAATCATTTGCATGCGCTGTGCAAAATTCCCTTCTTAATGACCATTTAGCCGCGCTTTTCTCTCTCGCTCCCGCACTCGCGCCGTCTCTTTCTGCGTGGCACGTAGCAAATTAAATGAGGCGGGCATGTGGGCGTGGCAAATTGGCAACACGTAGTGCAAGTGTAAGGGGGTGTTGAGTCGACTTCGAGTTCAATTTACAAATATTCTCAAACTAAGAAAAACTTGCGCTACTTTCAAAGTTTTTCCTGTCCCCCCTTCGCCTCACTAATGGGTCAAAGTTGGAAGGGTGGGGCCATCACCGCCCCTGTAGACCCCCCCCTCTGACCGCTAAGCTCCTAAAAAGTTGAAACATTTTTAATACTCGGAGATGTTGTGAACATTTTGTGCCCATTCTGTCCGATTTTAGCGACATAAAAGGGGGGAAATACCTTCAGAGATGTAACCTCACAGCATCTGAATGGGGTAAACTTTGAGAGAACTTTCCTGATTTTTATATATTTGTATATACCCCTGGCCCCCCTCCCTTCCAGGCCCCGATTTCAGTTGGACCCGATTCGATTTTTGAGTTCGCAGCATACTCAAGCATATACTCATTTACACTCGAGCACACTTCATTCAGAGATCAAGATCAATGAAACCGATAAATGCTAATGCTAAATAGCCAACAAAAACCTCCCATCTTCAATTTCCAAATTGTTCGGCCCGAAAGGCGCTGCGGAAAGCAAAAACCTCGAACAGATACAAAGATACAGAACCTATAACTATACCGCCCAACTACTGAACCCACATATGTACCCCTCCGAAGTCCTCGATATGTCTACGAATACACGGATACACGAACACACGCCACCAAGGATACAGATACACTTGAACATACATAAACGTACGCTTTTTGATTTCCATTTTGATTGTGTCATTTGTTTTTGTGTGGTTGTTATTGTATTTTTCAAAACGAAAACGAAATTCTTTTGTTTCAGGAGTTACAATTCTTCTATCGCTCACAGTGTTTCTCAACCTTGTAGCTGAGACATTGCCCCAAGTATCTGATGCAATCCCCTTGTTAGGTAGCGATTGCATTTAAAACATACTTACCAAATGCAAATATATATTCAAATTTGTCAAAACAAAACCAAAGAATAATTAACAAAGTACTTAATATGATTTACACGTACACGCCTAAATATATATGTATATATAGCAGTATATATACATATATATGTAACTACATATATATATTCATGAATATTATTGTTATTGTTGTTACCTATATATATACATATCTATTACGATTATATTACTCACACACATTGCTAAATTGTTCGCATATATAATCCCCAAACAAACCAAAGCCAAAAAGAAACCAAACCGAACTTAAACTTAAATAAAGTATTAGTCTAACCAACCAAGTCAAACAATATCCAACTCTAAAGTGACAAAAGTTGTTAAATGTTATTTGTGTACGTCGTACTATGTTTACTAATTACAACAACTTTGCTAAGTACTTACTAACTTAACTAAACCAAACCAAACTAAACCAAATCAATTCTAATTCCAACTCGTTCTCTCTGTCCCACCCTTCTTCTCAATCGTTCTGAACTTGAAGTTATAATATCAAATACAAATATGTATATCAATATATATCGAAGCAGTTTCTTAGTTGATCATACTATCTTCTGTTGCCTCTATATCTCTCTCTCTCTATCACTATGCCTATATCCTTCTATCTTCATTTGAACAATCAACAATCTTTTTGGTTTGCTTCTTATTCAAGTCAATCTAGATCAAGTCCCCAGCTAGCCAGAAAAGAACACAAGTTAGGGCAGTCTTTTAAATGCTATCGTTATCTATATGTACTTCCGATCTATACTTCCCTCACTTCCGTTTCCACTTTCTCTTCAATTTCTACCACACAACGTCGTTGAAGTTCGGTCCATCGAATTCCAACGGTGCCGCACCAATGATCGATTAAATTCCCTTCAATATATATGCTCCATTCCTTGAACTTCACCGGCGAGGCGTTAAGATGTAATAGATCCCAAAAATATGCTTCCATTCACAATTAATTCGAACATACGTATTCAAAAATTTCCAACTTTATCTAATGCATCCGAGCGTCGCCATGGCAAGTTCCTTCTGTAATTATTCAACTTCTGCAAAATATACGATTATACGATTATGTATACAATATATCCGAACTATATAATAACTGTTATGTATTGCAGTACACCCTGCTTGTACTTCTTTCGCTTCGTTCAAACCGCCACTCCCTCAATTTCAACCCATATGTAATTACAAAAGATACTTATGAGACAGATTTCAATGCAAGTGAGTTTGGGATAATACTTGTGAAATGAAAACGAAGGCGCAGATGCAAGAACATCTGGCGCATGTATGCCTAATGATGTCGTCGTCACAGACACTCAAACCGAAAGAAAGAAAGAAATCAATTAAAGAAAAGAAAAGAAAGAAAGAAGTTTTATGTCTTGTATTGTATGATTTGACTTTTTTGCTAACAGCTTTGATTTGTGTTTGATTTGGTTCTCTCACTCTCACTATCACTATCACGCCACCCACCTCACTCGCCCATGAATAGATTATCGAGTTTTGCATTGCCTCACCACCACCATCACCGCCACAAAAAGAAGAAATGTTTTTCACCCTCGGTTTGTCCATGAGTACTGTCACCATCTTGAAGCTCGTTCTCGTTATCGTTATCGTTATCGCTCGCTCACCCGTGACACAGGAAACTCTCAGTCATGACCACGACCACCCCCCACCACCCACCCACAAACCACCCACAGAAACCCACCCACACACGCTACTTTAACTTTCTTAGCTATTGTCTGCGCCACCCATCCAAGCTCCCGATCACCTATATATATCCCCCCCATGCGAACTCACCTTCGATATACTGTTTGACCCATTTCTCGGAATGATATTTTTTGCTTGAGAACCTTTTTGAGAACTCAAAACTGTGAACGAATAAACTTTCAAAATTCAATTGAATAATGCCCAATGTAAATACTGATCGCTCGATTGCATATCTTGTATTGCAAAAATATCATTTCGCTGAGATTCGCTTATTTTGTTTGTTTGTTTAAATGGGTCGCGGATTCGTTTGCTTACAGATAACAGATAACCACTGTCCATGTCCACTTGGAATGCACTCCCCCCCCACCAACAAACAACGAATAAATCAAATAATATAAAATATTGCTTGCAGACCGGGCGGTCTTGTGTGCCAAGTTGTGTTGTGTTCTCTGCGAGAAGGTTCAGCCAAAAAATATCATTTAGTCTAACCCCGAAGCTATCTTGGAGGCGAGCACCAATCGAACTTGATTGCGAGCTCGTCTCTGCATCCTATCCCCGTATCCCAACTCAATCAGAATCCGACGACACTGGACGGACTAGCTGCGGCGATCCACGAGACTTCTCCCGATCCACATACACACGAGATCTGACCAAATTTGACCAAATATTTTACAGGTGTCACTATACTACTGTCGCAAACAGTTTTCTCCCTGCTGGTCGGCAATGTCATTACGAAAACCAGCGAGGCTGTACCGCTCTTAGGTATTCGAACTTTCAATTGACTCGTTTGTAACTTTGAGTTTATCATTTCGAAAACAATCAAACATCCAACCAAACTAAATTAAAATTTTAGAGCTTTAAAAACAACCAAAACTTTTCTCTCTTTTAGCTGATAAATCAAAAAAATGAATATGAAAACCAAAAAAACGATTGTACAAAGTACTCTTTAGACAAAACGAAAGTTTGCGCTAAAAATCAAAGTGAATCTTGTAAAAACCAAACTAGACCGACTAAAGTAGGTAAAAGAATGTTAAGCGATGAAGAGCATGATCCAACAACAACTGGATAAACACGAGATGCAGATAATGAACCAAAAGTATTTTGGAACCCAACCCCGAACCCAAAAACAACCCGAACCCAACCGAACAACCTCTGCTTCTTTAGACTTTTGGCTGAACCTCTTTGACTCTGAGACAAACTCCAACTAACACATAAACCACACTGGATCTTATGCCGATTCTGTTTCCGGTTTTGCGACTTAGGGTGCCTTTGCTTTGCTTGTCCACCCATCCGCAAACCGGAAATGCTTTGTACATACTTAATTCTACGTTATAGGTAATTGCAATTAGCCAATAGGCGTTGTTCCTCATACCCAAGTATCAAAAGCCTACTCATAACAATGAACTTACTAAACCGATTGTTAAACTGTTATTAAATATTCAGAGAGCATACAGTAAACTGCAGAAACGTTAAATCAATTGCAAACACATAATCCGTTCGCCAAAGCAACTAAAATATCGATTCCCAGCATTACCTAGAACAAGTTGAAAATCACAAACCCAGACAAAGATATCCGATGACCCCAGCCCATAACAAAATTGCTTGCTATTCGTATTTTATTAGAGTAGAAGTAGCAAAGGACAGTGGAGTGCAAAAAGTCTGAATAGATAATAACATATAAAAAACAATGTCAAAATTTGTTGTAATACATTTTTTAAAAACTTAGAGTAAAATCTGAAAAAAGAAGCTCATTAAGCACAATATGTAGAAACTTCAATGGGTAAATTCCAACCAACATAAATGATATAAAATAATAAATTTTGTTTTTCTGTTTAAGAATTTATATTATAATGTTAATTGACTGTCCTTTGCTCTTATTTCGTCTCCAATTGTTAAAGCCAAACCTATGCATGATCCCCAGTCAAAACAGTTTACACTAAACTGCATGATGAAGAATGAAACTTAAAAGTATCGAATAATCATCAAACGTAGTGGCTATCTTTAGATATTACTTGGTAGCATCCGCAACGTAAAATAGAGTAAAGTAACATAGCCACAGCATTGTAACAACACAGTAATTTTATCAAGCTACTTTCTCTAACCGTAAATCTAACCAAAGTCTTTCATGAAATGAAGCTAAACTAAAGTAATGTTGTACTATTTTTGTAAATTATAATTTTGAGCTTTTGTTCTTAGTGTTTCGATGATTAGAAGAGTCCCCAGAGCACCACTCTAATATAAGATTTTTCTCTGCTCTCTGCTCTCTGTTCACCCCACAACCGACTCTATCCGACAATTCGCAACCCCAAAAACCGCACCACCCCTAGGCACCTACTTCAACTGCATCATGTTCATGGTCGCATCGTCGGTGGTGCTGACAGTAGTGGTGCTCAACTATCACCATCGCACAGCGGACATCCACGAGATGCCACCGTGGGTGAGTCCAATCCTCACCAGACCCTCACTGTTCCCCGTCTTATGTTGGTTCGGTTCTTCGGTTCCCAGATTAAATCCGTTTTCCTACAATGGCTGCCCTGGATCTTGCGAATGGGTCGACCCGGCCGCAAGATCACACGCAAAACAATACTATTAAGCAATCGCATGAAGGAGCTGGAGATGAAGGAGCGCTCCTCCAAGTCCCTGTTGGCCAATGTCCTCGACATCGACGACGACTTTCGGCACACAATATCGGGCTCCCAAACGGCCATCGGTTCGTCGGCGTAAGTTTCTCATTTGAATTATTTTAGTGTGCGGATTAACCCACTTCCTCGATGCTAACGCACTTTTGCAGTAGCTTTGGCCGGCCAACAACGGTGGAGGAGCACCACACGGCCATCGGCTGCAATCACAAAGATCTTACCCTAATTCTCAAAGAATTGCAATTTATTACGGCGCGCATGCGCAAAGCTGACGACGAAGCGGAATTGATCGGCGATTGGAAGTTCGCGGCAATGGTTGTGGATAGGTGAGTTACCATCTCCATCACCATTATAACACTATTGCATTACACATACACATCACTCGCTGATTAAAGATATAGAAACAAAACGATTGTTCTTCGTTTTCGATTTTTTAACAAATGGATTATCCAGGCTTAACAAGGGGCTTACAAAAATATATAATATATAATATAATTTAAGGGATAACGGCATATTTTATATCCGTTGTGAAAGATTTTAGTTTTCCTTTTTGTTGTTGACTCTAAAATTATAAATTAGGAAAACATTAATTGTGATTAAGCCAATTTTCGTAAGAAATCGTTTAGGGTTTTAATGTGCTTAAAGGATTTTATTACTCCTAACTGGTTCCAGGCAACACACCGAAGAAGAAATATTTTTGCAAATGGTTTTTTAAGCATTCAAAATTTTCATAAATTTGTAGAAAATATGGTACACAAATATTTTTCTAAAACCCCTTTTTCACCCAAATCCTGGGCTCTCCTCTAAACTACATATAGACGAAATCTGTTTAGGGTAACTAACGGGATTTTGGATAATGCCTGGGCAATAATTCATAACCATCCGCAATCGCACACGCAATTATGAACTCCAAGATATGTGCTCGAGAATGGGTGTGAACTTATTGGACCAAGCCGGCAGGTTTCGCCCGGCAAGTCAAACAATTAGGCCACACGACTTCCGGCGGAATGAACCCACACATTCGCATGCTCACACTCACACTACTCCACACACTCACACACACACACACCCACGTGCCGCAAATATTGAAAGATGGCCGACTACCGGTCGTCCGCCATTTTGTTTGATGGCCCCGCTGACTTGTTTGCTACCGCTCTGCTTGCTCTTTACTCCACAGATTCTGTTTAATTGTTTTCACGCTCTTCACGATTATTGCAACGGTTACCGTGCTGCTCTCGGCTCCGCACATAATCGTGCAATAAGGACGCTGGAATTATACAATTAAGCTACGGATATGGAAACGCCCGAGTGGCCGGGGAGATGCCTAGTTAAGTTCTTTTTCAAAAACCAAAAACTAGCAAAGCTGCTGCGAAACAAAGCAAAAAAAAAAAATACAAAAAAAATAATACAAATAAAAAATTGTTAATTACATTTTTAAGTAAACAAACAGAGCAAAGAAAATATCGCAAGAAAAACAAAACGATACAAAATCATGTACTAAACAAAATTTTATGGACAAACCAAACAAAAAGCAAAAATTACTGCCGTACAAGAACCGAAAAAAGTGTTAAGTAAGCTACACACATACACACACAGACACAAAATTATAAGAGTTAAGCAAACAACAAGAAATGAAACAAAAATTTGCATACGAATAGGCAAAGAAAGAGGAGGGGAGATGGAGGGGCACAAGGAGGAGCAGGACGAAAATAAGAACAAAGAAACAACGCGGGACAGGACACACAAAGGTTACATGCGTATACCCACTGTATACCCACACAGACAGACTCACATACATCTAAGTAATTGTATGTACAATAACAGAGTTATAAGTTAATTAATATGCTGAGTTGTTATAATTTATGTAAGACGAACAGATGACAGACACACACACATACGCATACACTTAAGATATATGATATATATAAGAGATTGTTCCTATGAGACATTAGATATGTATTTAAAATGGCAACACACTCACGTACGGAGACACACCGACACAGAAGCACTTAATTGACAAATGCAAAAACAAGGGAAAGTAACCATTTATTTGTTGGAAAGTGTAAACAGGAGACGAACAGGATGTTGACCCTTTGTTGTATGCTTTTTCAAGCTTTAATATTTTACTTTTCTGTTTTCATTTTGGGATCACGTGGACCAACAATATTTTGTTTGATTTCCTTCATTCCAGTTTGCAAACAAAATATGATCCCAATGAAGAAACTTTTACGAAACTTGCTTTTATTCATATTTAATCCATTGTACATTACTTTGATCAAATTCTCACTTCTAGTTTTATTTTACTTAACGTTTTTTTCACTTTTGAAGAGTTGCTTGGAAGATAGCTGATTGTAAATGGTAACAAACTGACACATAATAATGGATATAAACAAAGGTCTATATATACATACATATACTCATAGTGAATTGAATTAATTTTTAAAAGACGCATTAACGAACACATTGTGGGGAAGTATGTTCGTTGAACATCATGTTTTTAGAAAATTTATTGTTGAAATATTGTAGCAAATTGAGTAAGCATAAAGACAAACGACCCGAGGGCAAAACAAACCGAGTTATAGTCACCAATTAATTAGTCAAAGTAATAATAAACGGAAATCGAAAACCAGAGAAACCAAAACCGAACTAGCAATACAAGATGAAAAGGTGTATATATATTTTATGACACATATATCACCGCATATATACATACACATATATATATATGGATATATTTTTAATAAAACGATACGGAAACGAGCAAAACTAAAGACACTAAGCAGCGCAAGAACAGAACAGAACAGAACCCCACTAAGCCAACCAACCAACCCCACTCAATGCCACTCGAAATCACCAAGACACGAATCACAATTTTGTTGGAAATTTCACATAGTTTTCGGATGAGTTCTCTCTGTCTATATCTGTATCCCTGTGTATTCCTAGAAACGAGCTTCGAATTTTGTCAACTATTTTACTATGCTCTCCCCTGACACAAAGCAAAACAGTGATATTTACGGTATAGCCCCCAAAAGACAAACTCATACTCGAACACTCTTTCCGGAACCCACCTAAGAAACCTTTAAACGTGAATATTTTTTCTAAACAAAAACCAAAATCAATGAAAAACCTACCTCCTTGTTGAAAGAGAAGAATCGACGAAACGAGCGATCAGATGGAAACCGAAAATGGTTGAAGGACGAAGAAGCATAGCAGACTGCCGAGTTAATCGCACTCCTTTGTCCCCTCGAGTAATCCTTTCTTACGTTGTCCTGCCCAAGAGAATTTCTAACAGAATTGTGTGACAAACCAGTTTTGATAGCCAGACAAAAAGTTTACTTAACGGAAAGCAAATCGGCCCTATTAGATACACCCGCTGTCAGATGGAACAACCCAATCGAGTGCTGAATCAACTGAAGGAACTGCAGATCAGATTTAAGCGTTATATGTGTATACACTCACTTTGTATGTTTTATTTGCATTTACATTTAAATTTAGATTTGATATGAGACGACTTTTACTTACGCCCAGAGCGATGCGTAATCCTACCGAAAACTGCTCTGTCCCCATGAGGTTGTTGTTTTTCGAACGTTAGTCAAATTCGAGTGTGAATTCCAATTCGAAATCCGATTCAAATTGAAATTGAGATCTTGAGTTAAAGCGGTATTGAACACGTATGAGAATCCGAGTCAGAATGCATTGGAAATCGAGAGATAGAGTTGAGAAGGGTGTGTGCGTTTTAAATTTAATTTTTTTATAATTAATTTAGTGCTAATCTTTGAGCAGCTAGGCGCATAATTAGAGCTATGTATATGTGTATGGATGTCTTTTTGATAAAAAGAAGCTGTTTTAAAAAGCAAACCATTTTCTACACTCTTTAAAAGATTGAACTCTACATGTACGAGATTATGTATAATACAAGTAATAATAATATAGCGTTAACTAGGCAATTATAAAATGAGGTGACCTGCAGAAGGAGCCATAAACTAAGCGTCCTACATTAGGAGAGGGCAACCTACGCGATTACCCGAGAAAACGTAAAAAAACGAGAGGAGGCAAAAACTAAAACGATAAACGAATTTAAAAATGAAAATGAAAATGAAGTTACCGCAAAACCAAACTTGTAGTAAAGGAAAATGTTTTTTCATTTGAAAACTCTACTACTTACTTACTACTAACTTACTTTGCAAGTAATAACTAATTTCCTCTGATCAGAGTTACACGCAATCGCGAAATGCAAAAAGCTAATTACAAAACGGTTGGTACACGCCCACACACACAGTCAGACATAAAGCATTCGAATTGTTCGTATTACAAAATAAAGAAATCAGCAAACCGAAGAGTTCGATTTTCGTTTCAATTGCACTCCGCATGTTCAACCCCAGGGCAATTAAACAGAGTTCAACAATAAATAGCGCATTAAAAACCGATTCGAGACACTTTTTTAAACAAGGCAAATATATTTAAAATTTAGCATTAAACTAAATGACAAGAAAAACTTAGTCTATAAACTGCAAATGTTTAGCACTAAACTCTCCCAAGCAGAGGCCTGCAAACCAACCCGAACCCAAATCCAAACCTCAGCCTGTGTCCCGAGTCTAACTACCAAATCAATTTAAATAGCTAATTGCATAATTATTAAACCGTTATTGAATTTCTGTCGATTGCCAAACGCGAGCAAAACCATAAAATCTTCCCAAAAATTATGCATGTAAAAACAAATGGCTAAAACCGAAAAAAAAAAAAATTAGCAAAAAGTCTGTTGTCGATAAACATTATTGACAGACAAATAACTTTCGTCACATTGACGATAATAATTAATTTTAAGCCAAAAACAAAGGAATTAAATGATTTAAATAATAAAAAAATTAATATTAAAAATCGAGAGACATGATTGCAACAAAAACACAAAAACTGAATAAAAATTTATTTTGAAAAGAGAATTAAATCGACGAGTTGTTTTTCTTTAGTACTATATCATTTTAATAGCATTAAGTAAAAATTACAAATGCTTGCTGCTATTTATTTCCTATAAGAAAATTAATTTAATTTTAAGTCAAACAGGTAAGTAAAACTTATTACATTCTTATTTTATTTTATTTTTGACAAAAGTATTTATTTGAATGCAATTTCGAAAATAACAACAGTTTAGCTTTAAAAATTAGTATGGCCGCAAGTCGAGTTTCAAAAATTAATACTAAAATATACTTCGTGACTCTTCAAACTAGAATACTATACATGTCTAAAGATTTTTGGCAGTCACACTGTTACCTGTTTACAAGTTTTTGTTGACATTCAATTTCAATGGACTTGCGTAAATTGTGCAGGATTTGCTTTGTGGACAGCGCTGTGGTGGACATCAGGGAGCACAGGAGCAGCGGCAGTTCGGATCACACTGTTCTCGAGCTAATTCAGGCCATGTTCGGCAGGGTATGGCGACAGAAATGGGTTAAACCTCAATCAAAACACCTATCATCCTAGAACATAGCGTTGAATTTAACGGAGGAGCTGCCCATGATTTGCAGTGGCTGTCTAGAGGAATGTCAGCAGCACTACGCCTTCTTCCGAAAGCTGAAGTTCGCCAACCAGCAGCTCCTGCAGCTCTACAACGAGGCGCAGTTGGAAATGTGCCAGGATGCAGATCCGAATGAGCAGACTGAAACGAAGGCTGGGGGGGATTACGAAGCGTGGGAGGAGTTTGAACCACTGGATATTATTGTATTAGAACCAGAGCAACTGGCAGAGCCAAAGGAAACAGAGGAAAGGCAGGAATCCGGTCCAAAACCCTCCCAGAGGCTGGCCAATCAGGACTCTCTAATTGTGTCCGAGTTTCTGCCCGCCACCACCGCCCAGCCGCGTCTTGATCTGTCCGACTCCCGCCTGCAGCTGTTGGAGCCGCCCGCCTACGAGATGCGCACCGTGGACTACGCGGCCGTCGAGCTCAAGCACTACAACTTGGACGAGTACAACGAGGCCAATCGACTGCTCGATGTGGAGCCCAGTGGCAGCCAAGCCATCTACAAGTGCCAGTACTGCCCGCTGGCCTACGCCTCACCCCAGTATCTGAAGACTCATGTGCGCAACTCGCACGTCTGCAAGTACTGCACCACGGCCTTTGCCAAGGTGCGTGATCTCAACGAGCACATTAGGCGCAAGCACTCGCATCACCAATGCGTAGTGTGCTCCAACAGCTTTAGCACTAGCAGTAACCTAAGGGCTCATCTTAAGAAAATCCATGGTGTCCAGTTGCCTGCACAAGTTGCATTGCTAGATTACAGACCAGCCACGACGGATCAGGACAATCCTCACCATCAATAAACTAAAATTCTTACATAGTTTTCTTTCCAAAATAGCTCATGTGCTTATTCACCCTTGCTCATTCAGGTTTACTCAACCTCTTGTTTAGTCTATATCTTGAAATTACAAGGTCTTCTTCGTTCGGGATTTCCTTCTCGTCTATATTAATGAATTCCAAATCAGCTACCGCGAATCGGTGCAAACCTTTCAGTTTATAATGGGTATTTAGTTTAATATTTACACAAGTTCTTGGTAGTTTATTTCCAAAAGAGCTTCGACTTTTCTCGTACAGGATCTCCCTTATATTGGTCCTCTCCGTTGATATACATAGGCGTGAACTCCCTGTAGGCTATGCATACGCGTCGCTCCTGGACATCCTCGCGGAGTACGGAATGCTCGAACTGGTACCTCGCTGGGCCATACAAAACAATCAGGGAGAGGCTGAACAGCAAAAATGAGTTAAGTAAGTCAACGGAAAAGTAGAAAATATAAAACCTACTTTGGCATAGGTATGCGAAGCACCTTTCCCGCGTATTTGGCCATATGCTCATCCTTCAACAGCGGCGCTAGCAATTCCTGCTCGTATTGGGCCACCAAGTCCAGATTGTACTTACTCGCCTGCTGGACTTCGTAGGGAGTTAGGGTGAGGACAGCGTCGCCTAGGCAGTTTACCGTGACCACTCGCTCGCCCCAGATCCAGCAATCATCCACGTGCGGATCTATGCTGGCTCCCTTGCTGGGCTCGTACTCCAGGGAGCACTGTTCGATGGTCTGGAAGCCACGCAGCAGGGGAACCTCTTCGAAGCGCTGCTGCACATACTCCGTGGATCGAGGAAATCCCACGAAGGAGCCCACCTGAAGCTTGCGCTTTTTAAAGTTCGTTTTTGGCCCGAAGTTCTGTTTGCGTCGGCCGCTCTGCGAGATGTCCCAGGCCAATGCGTCCAGGTCGGACAAGAGTTGCGAGCCCTCCTCTGTGCTGAGGAATCCCTCTTGTACCAGAATGCCCGGCAGGGGCAGACCATCGTCCTTTTTGTGATCTTCATGGGCACTTTCCACCTTAGTCGTATCCCAGCCGGGCTGCAAAAGTTCGCAGTGGACGCAGTATGACCACGCTTCTAGTTGCTGGAACTGCTCCTGCAGAGAGGGCTTTGCTATCTGAAAGTCCTGCTCGCAGCTCAGACAGGTGCGCACGCCCTTGCAACCGCAAGGACGAATTGTATTCATCCTTAAATTGAACAAACACGTTAAAAACAAACCGCCAGTGTGACCGCTGCTGGGGAGATCTAATATACCAACCATTGCACTTCTTTAATTTACAAAATACTAAAGTCAAGCAGCTGTAAATTGTAACATAGTGCTGTTAGGCGCTTTATTGGCGGAATTTTAACCAAGTTTAAATTAAGCTATTTAAATAGTTGGACTTAATTCAGTTCTTTTATAAAATATACTTCATATTTGTTAATATAATGGTTTCTTGTACTTTAAACATTTAATTTGTTAGGATAGAATTTACCTGTAACTTAACTTATGTAAGTAAAACCATTATCGTGTACATCGTATAATAAATATGTATATCAGTTCATTTAAGTTTAAAGTCCTAAATATAAATTTAAATGTAAAGTAATTTACAAAATTGTGACTAGTGCATTGTTAACTTATTGCACAAGGATGAATAATAATAGTTTTAGCAACGCTTATTCAAGCATAAGTGTTTGGGAGGCCATTAATCAAAGATAACCATATATGGTAACTTACTTTAAAATGGACCGACTTCAGAATTTTGTTGACATATAGTGTCCAACATTTATCTATCACAAACAATTTACCTGTGTACTATTACCATATGCAATTAAGACAATACTCAAGTTTAACTTTCTTAAAATATTTTATTTCTTTTGTTTTGATTTAGATTTGATTTTTACAAATACTTATTTTAAACCTGTTTCAATCAAACAAATGCTGCTTGGTGATCAATACTAATCGTTATATTCTTCTCCAGCTAGTCTTACACTTTCTAAGGGTACCCGAGCTGAAGCCAGGTTTTTCCAATATGGAACAAGTAGGTAATATAAGGTGGAGCTCAGCCCGGGCGATGCGATGAATCCTTTCCTCTTCTTTCTCTCTTTCTGTACAAATGGAGCTTGGGTGATCAGTCTTTCGGTGCAGATCCAGCTGCAGGTGCTATCAATCTATCTATTAGATTTTAAGGCAGCTGCGATGGGAGCCACAGCGGGCGTAAACCTCCTCGAAGGAGCGGATGAGCTCGTCCATTCCGCGGAGCAGGCCCTCCTCCCGGTTGCCCGGAGTCCAGGCACTGCGATGGTCCACCCTCACCTGCGGGGGCAGCTCCCGGCACTTGGCAAAGTCAATCAGCCAGACACCAACCCTCTCGTCATCGTAGACGATGAAGATGCTGGAGCCAACGATCTCGTGGCGGGCGAAAAATGAAGACTGCTCGATGACTAGGCGCATGTGCTTCAGTCGCTTCAGAAGCTCCTTCTGCACAGATCGCCGGGCGGCCAGGAACTGTTCGATGGTCTGGACGATCTGCTCGCTACTCCGGCAGGTCTTCAAATCCTTGACAGGCGGTCGTCCACGCAGACGCAGTGCCTCAATTCGGAAGCCCTTGGAGTGCGAGGAGGACAGTGACTCCCGGAAAGTCATGTACCGCAGCTTGGTGATTGCCCGTGCCTCGTGCTCCGCCGGCGTGGGAGCTCCGGCATCCACAGCGATCATCTTTTGGTAGAGATCTGGTCGCAGGGTGGCATTGCTGACCTCAGATTCAAGGAAGGTGCGGCTGCCCATCTTGATGTCCATCACACACGGATCCCGGAAGCCAGCTAGCAGGTCCTGCAGTTCAATGTAGTGCTGCGCCTGGATCTCCTGCATCCCAAAGTAGGCGGGCACTATCTGAGCGGTCTGTGGTTCCTGGCAGATTAGTCGGTAGGCATGCACCTCGCTGTCCTCGAAGCCGGAAATGCGTTTGCGGACTATTCCGGTGGACGTGGGCACAATGCTGGAAAATAATAGGACAATTTAGAGTTAGTACTCAGTCGGTATTAAATAACTAGTAACAAATTTGCCCTTTTTAATATCATTTAATATTTAGGATTGTAACCGCATTATTAAAGATAAGAATTTTAACCACAAACTTTGACTTATGATATTCATAATAGTAAACAAATAACAAACTGAACTTTTTTCTCTTTTAAAAAGTTCTTAGTTCCCATTATTATGATCCTTACCTCTCTGGGTGACCGGAAAGCTGCATCCAGCCCTGTGGCTTCGCCTGCGTCTGAGTCTGCTGGTGCTGGAGGAGATGTGGCGTAGCTGGGGCGCTCAACTCTAGGGCATTCTGGAAGCAAGAGAGAAACGAAACTTAGTCAGAAGGGAATACGCATTCATTGATAAATCGCAGTTTATCGCAGCTGGGAACGGGTTTGCCTCGCTCCTTCGCCAGACCGAAACATTATTGTCTGCCCGCGATTATAAATAATCAAACAAATTTTATTTGCCAACCCATGTGCCACGCCCCAGCCTCGTAAACGTGAAATTTATGCAGGCAACCCGCCAACGACAACCCAAGCGATCGCACATTGTCCGAGGCTGAGGTTTCGGCTTCAGCTTCAAGCAGGAAGCGCTGGTGGAAAGTTTCTGGCCAATCGACCTGAGTGTAAACAGTAAACAACGGGTACTTACAATGGCCAAGAACTTGAGCAGGGACATCTGGGCCGGGGCCTGGGATTGGATGTGGTTCCTGTGAGCCTGGGCCGCTCTTTGGAGACTCAAATAGTCGGCCAAGTTGTCGCAGTTCTCATATGGAATCCGCTGTAATGAGAAAGATGGGTAGAAAAATCATTAGTTATACAGTAAACAAAATACATATCATATATTCAAATCAATAAAAGTATTATTATATAAGAAAGGGGCATTGCATTTTTATAAATTAATTTTAGATTTTGCCCAACTGTGACTCACGAAAGTGTCAATTGATTATTCAAACCGAATGCATTGGCAAACGGCGAAAAATTCTAGGCGGCATGTTTGTTTATGCTTATATAAAAAGACGGAGCAGCTTGATGGGTCGTCGTGTGTGGTTTACGACCGATCCCCGGCACTGCCGTGTCCCTAATGAGCCACTTAGTATGCAAAGTTGGCGTTTGTTTTTGTTGTCGCCCGTTTGTTTGTGCTGCCTATGCGAATTGAGCCATAAGCATTGGCCATAACAAATAACGACCTGTCAGCGTAGAAGGCGATCCGATCCAATGCGATCCAACCCAATCCAATCCGATCCTCACTCCACCGCTTTGATTAATTGACTAATTAAGGTAAATGCCTCGGAACTTGTTTATGCCCGCTTCTTATATAGCTTCTGCTCTTGTTTCTCGCTATCTTGCCACTATTATCGTATCTTAACTGCCCAGATAACGCTGCGTCTTTTCAGCCAGATGCAGATCCCTCCCAACGGCCCTAATCTTGGGTTAATAACATTGCTCCGATTGCGATCTTTACGTAAGTTCGCAATTTGCATTTGTGGCACAGATTCATCAGTAGGGTAGATGGTGGGCACAGTGAAAACCCGTTGCCAGGGTCATCGCCCCTTATCAGCAGAGTATGGTATGATCTTGGGCTTATCATTTTGCAACAGTTAGCGGTTGGCAAATGTTTAACTTGAGACCCCCGATATGGTTTGGAGATAATGAATGAGGCCTAACCAGCTGGCAAATACGATTTTCCTGACTACAAAACTGGTTGGAATGTGAAATTTGGATACCAGAACCTTATGCTAATTTCGGCGCCGTCTCTTGCCAATAAGAATGTGGGTCTCATTCAAATATTAGTAGCAAGCCTTGTCCGCTCGAATTTCCATATTAAATATATAAACCAAAAACCCCCCTATTATGTATTAATTAGGCGCTAATAAGATGTCACATTGATTTGAGGTGGAGCACACTGCCTATCAAATTCCATTAACCAATATTCGAGGTTCGACGTTCGTGTCGTCAGCACTGACCTTTATCGGGAGTTACACGTTACGCTTCGCATTTAACGGGGACTTAATTATAGCTACGATCGAACTATTCGACGTCAGCGGCTTTTATTCATTGACTACTCGTTTTACAACTGCATTTACTACAGATTGGGCTCATTCTATAGCCGATATTCGCACATTTTTGCACGTACACCACCTGGGCGAAATTAGCACTTGGGCATTAATTTGGATTAGTAAAAGTGCGTCATACTGTGGGAGAATCTGAGCCTACAGTATTACTTCATTTTTATGTGCAATTGCATGTTTAATTATCTCACCCTTAATGTCTGGATTCTGGTTACGTTCACTCATGTATGCGACATCTCAGGGAAAATTGATGAGGGAAAACCTCAGCGAAAATTACTTCTGACAGATGAAAAGCAAAACCGCAAAGTGAGCAAAACAATTATTAACTTTAACTCTGACATCAGAAAATTACAGCACTTTTCGCTTGAGCGATTCGGTTCGCATTTATTAAGGTTCAAGCTCGAGTTCGAGCCCGAGTTCTGAGTGCGTTTTGGTCGCGTTTATTTTTAGGTTTCGATATTCCGGCGTTTAACTAAGCCCACAGTTTAGTAGTGTTTATTTATGACTACTTAACATTTTCTATAGCCGCCGGACGAACGTGTTAACCGACAGAAACAGAAACAACCACGGGAATAGCAACAAAAAAAACAAGAAAGGAAAGCTAACTTCGGGCGGAGCCGAAGTTGATATACCCTTGCAGAATACTCTGAAAATTATATTCTCCAAAATTATTCATATGCATTCTTAATACTCAACAAAAATCCCAACTTCCTAACTTTAAAAACACCAAAGTTATGGCATTTCCAATCGTTCAGTTATATGGCAGCTATAGGATATAGTCGGCCGATCCTTATGAAATTTAATAGGTAGGATTGATTGGCTAAAAATAAAACCCATAGAAAATCCCAACTTCCTAACTTAACAAACACCAAAGTTATGGCATTTCCGATCGTTCAGTTATATGGCAGCTATAAGATATAGTCGGCCGATTCTCATGAAATTCGGTAGGTCAGATTGATTGGCCAAAAATAAAACCTATAGAAAATCTCAACTTCCTAACTTAACAAACACCAAAGTTATGGCATTTCCGATCGTTCAGTTATATGGCAGCTATAAGATATAGTCGGCCGATTCTCATGAAATTCGGTAGGTCAGATTGATTGGCCAAAAATAAAACCTATAGAAAATCTCAACTTCCTAACTTTACAAACACCAAAGTTATGGCATTTCCGATCGTTCAGTTATATGACAGCTATAGGATATAGTCGTCCGATCCCGGCCGTTCCGACTTATATACTGCGTGCAAAGGAAAGAAGGGTGTGTGCAAAGTTTCAGTTCGATATCTTTAAAACTGAGAGACTAGTTCGCGTAGAAACAGACAGACGGACAGACAGACGGACAGACGGACAGACGGACAGACGGACAGACGGACAGACGGACAGACGGACAGACGGACAGACGGACAGACGGACATGGCTATATCAACTCAGGAGGTGATCCTGATCAAGAATATATATACTTTATAGGGTCGGAGATGTCTCCTTCACTGCGTTGCACACTTTTGACCAAAATTATAATACCCTCTGCAAGGGTATAATTAAAGCACACAAAAAGAGGCAAAACAAAAACTTTGCTTAAATCAATTTATGCGCGTGACGTCAAGGCGCTTTTGGCTGAGCTGTTAATTAAACAAAATCAACCTGCCGAATTTTTATTCGCCTCCGAATGAATGGTTCTTGGCCGAAGAGGTCCATCCTAAGGCCTACAAGTTGGACGATTTTGGCCCTGAACCTGCAACGTGCCCCTCAAACTGGTTTTCCAGCTCCCCAGGATACCCGCTCTGTGGGCGTGACTCAGGTGCAGCAGCCTTCGCAGGTTTTGTAGAACACAACCCTGACATTATAAGACGATCCCGAGACGATGCCAAGACGTTGGCCCAGACTGTCTGGGGGGTTTCATCGATATATCGATAGTCTCGGTCCGCCGGGGAGTTAATATTTGCATTGACGTCAATCCAGCGAACGGAGGGCGAGGGGCTCGCCTGGAAGGGTGGGGAGGGGAGGATGGCGGGCTCAAACCAGTTGGCTTAAAAAATATAATAATATCGCAATACTCAAGCCATCGGCAGAGGGTTAGATCCGTGTCCCAGGGGCAGAAACTATCAGAAAACTCGGACTAACCATCACACTCTCTTTCTTGGCAGCACCATCAATCTAAGTCGTAGTATTCTAGTGGCTCGCTGGTCATGAGTAACCGTTAGCCAAAGGAAAACCGGATCCGCTTAGACCCCCGATATGCGTCAATATGAATAACGTCTTTCCCTTTAGTGCAATCATCGCGCTTACACGAAAACCCATGTGAATCACTCTGCGAAAGTTTGGCATTCACCGCCAATTCAGAGCCCAGTTTTGGCGACTTAATTAAGATTATGGGGATTAAGGGGGAATACCCGTGGCTTAAAATAGAAACTAGATTAGTGGCCCCAAACCCGATCTCCGAGCTTCTAACCTTCGCTCTTGTCGGAAGCCTTGATCTTAGAGACATGCGAAATATTAAAATGGCCGAAATTAACCGATAATGACTGGGGCCAAAACGAGCGTGGGCCACTGCACTTGACACTTGAAACGATCAAGAGTGCTCGGCTCGTCGGAATCAGACACACTGAGAGAAACAAAGCCTGGAGTCAATAAACTCGGACTTTGAGAAATAAGGACACCACACTGTCCGAAAAGAGAGATGTCTCTGGTCTTTGTCAACGAATCAATTGTCTTTAATGGAACGGAATCAAATGAATCGATTCGATTGTCCACTGGCGGACAAGCGACGCCTCTGGGGAGTCCACATCCACATCTCAATCTGCCGTCAGATGTGTGATCATAACCGGCCGTGTCCGGCTACGTTACGTTTGGCGGGCCTCGTTGCTGGTCTTTAATTAGCGCAGACCCGCCGTAGTATGCAAATTGGCGTTACGTGGATTATTGGAATTCCAGCCCGGTCCGCAGATCTCCCACACTCTGTTTGCAATTCGCATAGTTCGGGGGGTGACTGGGTGGTTGGGTGGGTCCCACAGTTGTTTCAACAATATCCACATCAAACAGACGTCATTCAATATCCGGAGTCGGAGCTTACACACGACTCCGCAACGTAACTCTGTCTTATTGTCTGTTGTCTGCGCTTTTTTTTTTGGTCACTTTCTCTGTCAGTGGTTGGCTTTCTACGCGGATGTGGATGCGTTGCCCCAATCCTCATTGACGTCACTATGTTTGCTTGTGTCTTACAAGCTTTCTTTTCTTTCGGCCACTTACCTCGTTGTTATTGTTCGATTGCTGCTGCTGCTGTTGCTGTTGCTCCACATCCAACATCATGGCACTGCGCTGCTTGGAGGGAGCACTCGTATCCAGGGCAATAAGTTTCCACAGCTGCTTGAGGCCAATGTTGTCGATGCAGGAGAAGCGGAGCTTCTCGTTTGACCAGGCCATCGTGGAGCGACTTCTTGTGGAGCTGGCTGACTTGGAGGCCTTCGCGTTGGCCCCCGACTGATGGTGTCTCTCTGACTTGGCTTGAATTGGCCGCTGGAGCACCGTTGAAGTCATAGTCATTCGGATCGGTTGCTTTGCGCACTTGGTTTCACTTGGCTGGACTGGCACTTTAGTCGAGTGTATATCGTTCGGGAACTAGTCGATTTTCACGCTCGACACATTTGCATTCTGATTCTGATTCTGACTCCGACTCTCGGCTTCTATATCTCAGTAGTTCTCTGTTTCCTAGTCAAAACTGCGTTCTCGTTTCACTTCACTTGCACTGTGTCTCGGCATGGGAACTCCGATATCTTTATCTAAGTGCGCTTTGTTTTTGCACTTTTATCTTTATCGCTCTGCCCCGTTGGGAACTGTATATAGCACTGACGATCGCGGCGAATCGGTGGATAGCTGGATCGGCGAGAATCGAGGCGTTACGTTGTCTGGCTGCTCTGGGAGGCGACTAACTGGTTTCGCCATATGGCAGCCAGTTTTGTGATCGACGGATCGGCTGCCTTCGTGTCTCGTCGTGGAGGTTCGGCAATTCAACGAAGTGCGCTCTGGGAATCGGAGTGCCAGAGAGTTGAGTGTGGGGGAACTCGCCAACTCTCTGGGGAGCATCGATCGAGAGCGCCGGGGAGAGCGTAAGAGAGGGTGGGACTGTATCTGTATACACCCTCTGGAGAAAACAGAGTAAATCGCATTAGCCTTCTGGATATATCAGGAATGAGCCGCTGGGAGCTATAAATCAAAGTAGGAGGGATCATTTTGAAATATATTTAACGCCAATAATCACAAGATCACACTGTGGTTCCCTTTTAAAACTGTTTAATATTTTTAAATGATTGAGATTATCTTAGACCAAGCTTGGAAGAATTGCTATTAATATGCATATGTATAAGCCAAATTAAATGTTATTTAAATTCCCGAAATCTAATTTTTAGAAACATGCATTTAAAATACCCAAATCATTAAGCTAAAATGATGAATGAAAAAAACCTATTATTCATCTTAGCCATTTTAGATATAGCTCCATTATTCGATCGATTACATACCTCTTTTAATCATATGCCTCAAGTCGTAAAACCGAAGCTAGGGTCATATAGAATTTGATATTATTTCGATTACAGGCTCAAAACATCACAGAATAAATTACATTGAATAGGGAAAATCCCAAACCCATTCGCGCCTTCGTCACATTGATTGCCTTAACTAGAATGTAAATGTCATCATGATTGTACCAAACCCATTTTGAGATTAATCCATTGCTTACTATATAGTAAACAAGGAATTTCAAATACGCCGATCGTCATTCCAAAGCATTTCTATTCCAGAGGGCTCGCCGAAGTACGTACACAGCAATTGTTTACTTAGAATTTCACATAGCAAAGAAAGGGAAAACAATTGAAAGCGAATACGTTAAGGCTGGGAGAACTCATAAAATCCTAGACCAGAAAAACAACATCAGATATTTGTTTTGGCGACGCGCAAAAGAATGATCTTAGAGTCCCGAGAGCGAGAAGATCTGGAGGACAGACATATGGCGCCATAAGGTCAGACATTGAACCGTCTCTACTTCTTTTATCTGAGCTGTTGTTGAACTTGGTGAGATTCCCGGACCAATCTGCAATGCTAATCCCGCCAACTGCGCAACATCTTGGGATCGGGGGATTATGCAAACCGTCGCCGAAATCTGCGCCAATTTCTGCAGAACCATCCAGTTCATGGCCATCGGCCGAGGAATATATGTACTGACATATGCGCATATTTATTGTAGATTTCGGTACAGATCCAATGCCCAATCCCCAATCCCCAGTCCCGCTCCCAATCCCACGGAGATGCGTGCGTCAGTCTGGGTTTGAGTGACATACAAACCCCGAGTTCGAGTTGCAGTCTCCCCCGGGAGTCCTCCTCCGGTGGCCCACTTGGCAACTGCGTCAGCGAACGGACAGCGGTCGTCAGTTGTCGAAGGCCTCGTCATTGTAATGCAAACCCATCATATGGTAATGACTTGGGAAACTGCCTCGAAATGCATTGAACTTTCTTGTCTGCAGGCGGCAACGTGGCGTATGAGTAACAATAGTTTCCCGGGCACGTGATCAGACGACCACGAGCCATTTTCCAACACACTATTCTGGCTATAATTGCTATTCCGAGGCAGTTGAAGCGATTAATATTAAGTCGAGCAACTGGCTGCTCACACATTACAATTATAGTGATCGATAAAAATCAGTGCTGCGTGTAAAGCCCCAGTTTGACAAGCCAAGAATTTAATATTAAAATCATTTTTAATTTAAGACAAAAATGTGTGCTTAAAATTGCAAAAAAAACTTGTATTGCTTTCCATTTTATGATGTTCAATTAAATATGAAAAAAAATTTTTTTTATTAACACAAACATATAAACATAAAGATCTATTTAAAATTTTATTTTGAACGAAACGTGGATTTAAAAGGTACAAATTAATGCCGCATTCTCCATTATAGTTCATCCATGTTACCTGTCATATATTTGAATTTATTATAAATGAAGCATAACTTCTGTATGTACCATATACACATACCAAGGTTGGCCCTCACCCCTTTAAATTTTCCATGCCATCCTGCACTGCATTGCTTTGCTGGGCCTGCACTTCAATTAAGCGATATTATTGGCGTCTCGCATCTCGATTCAAATGGCACTTCCCACTTGAGTGAATAATCAGAGATCCCAACTTTAAGCCCAGCCCGGTTCCAGGCCCTGATCATCATCATCATCGTAGGCCTGACGTCAAACGCACTGGTTGCGTGAAATTTCTTTGTCACGATCGGAGCTTCGACTTCACGGGGATTTGGGTGAAGGGATGCGGATGGGCCATCTGCACGCACCAGTGGCTACTGGCAGACAAAGAACCCAGATGCCAGAGCCCAGAATAAAACCAAGATGCCACAAATGCAGTCGGTGGCTCCATCAACGGACTTTTGTACTCCGTCACCCTGTTGTTTCGCTTTTTGCCCCGGCGATTGACGCACTTGGTTGTCTTGTCACTTGACTTTTTTAATCTCGCGACTTTATCGTAGCTCACTGCTGGACTGGCTCAGAATCGGATTGGGATTCGGATTCGAAAAATGTTCGTCATACATAAGTGTAACTTAATATTTCGCTCAGGTAGCTCCGCTGGCTTCTCTTCCTCTTGTTTGGATTTCAATCATACTCGCACTCCACAGAATGTTTGCTATAGTTTCTTGCCAGCCAGAGCGTTCGCTCGCTATTAAATTATAGCTCAATGACTTTCCTGACGTCACAGTATTAAGCTCAGACAGCCAAACGCAAAGACCAGCAAAGCGCCGAAAAAAAGCGTTCCTCATTAACATGTTCTCCATGTGGGAGTGTTTGCACTGGTAGCCGCCGATCTTCGTATATAGAAACACATACATATAGTATGTAGTCACAGAGAACTAAAGACGGCAGCTTGGCGCCGCTCAAACAATTAAATTGCTCAGCTGGGAAATTAAAATATGAGTTTAAAATTAGAATTGTAATCTTTCAATCTAGCTGTGAGTGTCTCTTAAAAGTTGGCATTGATTTATGTAGAGCAAAACGCATTTGAAAGGATTTCTCAAGAATTGTCACCCTCTTACCTTTTACCCACCTGTATTTCCAAGTATTGCCTTGGGAATTTCAAATAAATTGATTTGGTAATCAAAATGGGCGAGTAGAGTTTTGCATTTTTACTTAAAGTCTACAGAATTTAATTCGTTGCAGGAGCAATGAACTGGCTTTTTGTTTGACTCTTCAACTTTTCTTCATTTAATCGATAATTCAAAGTATTGACTTACATTTATTCATTTTTACCCCAGTGAAGGGTCCTTCAATTTGTCTGTGTTCAAATTCAAGTGTGCATTGCTCCGACATCTTTGAGGAATGCTTCATAAGCTTTGAGCGTTTCCCATTGTGCTTTTGTTTAAGGTTCAGTGTTTGACTTTACTTATGAAAACGCATAAGCGTGTAAGCCATAAGTTAAACCCAGTATTTAACCAGCTGTAGTCATTGCTCGCCCTACAATATATATATATGCCATTTTGTGGTTTCCCCATAAAAAAAGTTAAACAGATACCAAGTTCACAGGCCAAGTGTTGGGAAAGTACCAAATACGCTATATAATAGCGAAGATTTTTACTATAAATAAAATTCCTAACTCAGAACATTTTATCAAAAAATCCCAATTATAAGAAAAAATTCTTATGATTCATTAAAATTTTAAAAAATATGTTGCGGAATTTCATAAAATAATATTTGACGTCAATGAATGGAGTATATTTTTTCTTTGAGATTTCTTCTAAAGAACCTAGGATGATGAAAATCGGAAATGACCCTCATCAAAATGTTTGAAAACTTTCCTCGTAATTCCAACAGATTAATTGACTGATAATGGTGGACATGGCCTGACCGACAAACGTCACGACTCAGTAGAGATTAACGCAGGGGCTGATAAGAAAAATTGAGGATAACAGTTTTATTGAAGATTTCCTCTTAAAAACCTGGACTACGTCACTTGAAGTGTTTGATTCTGGGAACTTACTGAAATTCCAATGCGATCCCAAACGGGAATTAAACGAGCGCTTTCAGAGTAACTAAAAAACTGTTGTTGATTGAAATGTCCTGGCATGGCAACAATTTGAACTCTGATTGCCCCCATTTTCGAGGCCTCACGCACTGTTCTTTAAGTTTGTTTTGCCCCGATTCTGCACTCCTCTAGGGGCTATCAACCTGCTAATTTGTGCTGAGTGTCATTTGATTGCTGAATGATTTTTTCGCCAAATACGTCTAAAAATAGTGTCGCAACATGTGAATGGCGCGAGCCGCTGATAAAGCTCACAGAGCGATACTCTCTACCGCCGATAATCTGGGGTCAGGCCCCAAATAAAGCCAGGCAACGGCTATAAACAAAAGCAGGAGCAACAATTGCTGGCAAAAATAAAATTAGAACCTGACCAACAGGGCAGCCGAGACGCAACAACAAACAAACAAAAGAATAATTATTTATGGGCGTGTAAACAATTTGATTGATTCGAGCCAAACGATCTGAATCGTTGAGGAAAACAGAAAACAACGGCTGCCTTGTGTTTTAGCCAGTCGATCGTGTGCGAATTCGTAATTAAATCTTTCGCGCCAGAATAACAGTGTGTAGACTTTCTTTTTAATCGCATTATGTCATCCTTTTTAATTGAGCAATTTTTTTTGTCTGCTCACCTCATGATCTTGAAGTACGAAAACAAAAATTGAGACTGTACGAATGTGTTTGTACGACATTATCGTATATCTCCCATAGAAACAATTTCTTTAATATTGCTTATTAATCACGAGCATAATTTTCATGAGCACATGCCTTGTGGATGGTCTAGTTGTTCATACGCAATGATCTTTTTTTTAGTCTAGTTTAAAGAAAACCCACTGACCTCCTAGACGATCATGACTTTGAAGCGATCACGTTTTCTGCATCGTAGAACCCGGCACGTTCTTTCCTTTTTCGGAACAGCTCATCCAAAGTGGGAATAAACATGAATCGAATCGAAGCCAAGGGAGAACGTTCGATTTCGAGTGCAAAATCAATTTGCGTCAATTGCAAGAGATTAGCCTCGCTCTAGTTTTGCAAAAAAAGTCGCAAGCTAACAACCACATAAATCAGCGCCAGATGATAATAAATACAAGACAAGACAGAGCTCTCCGGGGGGCGCTTGGAAACAACAACCAGACGGATGGACAGATGGACAGATGGATGGATGACTCTGCTCCGGCTTATCGCAAACAAAATGAGTTTACATCGGCGCTTTCCAAAAATAACCAGCCTGCTTCTTTCAGGGCCACGTCAGTCGGTCAAAATGGGAATCGGGATCCGGGAGGTGTATCCGGAGATACAGTTGGCTTTACAGTTGCGTGACGCAAACCGAACGAGTTACGCGGGAGTTTATTTATAAGAAAAATGCACCAAAATAACTCAAGCCAAACTCGCGAGCTCTCGCTCTGGTTGCGAGTGCATCTGTCCCGGACCGATTAATCCGGCCAGCTGAATCCACTGAGCTCTGGGCCCCTTATCAGGCCCCGACATCGGACCCATAATTGAGTAATATATTGGCAGACATCGGGAGACATCGCCTCCCGGGCACGTGGCATGCAAATGAGCTGCGGCGAAATGCCTGCGGAATATCATTAGAAAGATTTGGCAACCTTGGTCCGGGAACGGGCCAAAAACAAAAAACGGAACCAGCCCCAGCTAATTAAATCCATGCGAAACCCGATTCTGGGAAAATTTATTGCTCCTACAGTTCCATTGAATTCAAATATTTTGTTCACCAACAAATCACATTTACTCGTAAATAATTACAGAGAAAATATTTATCAAAAGATTAGCTGAGTTTCGTTGGGATTTATATACCTGGAAACAGCATGGGTTATTGAAAAGGGTTTTCCACAGAATAATAAATCATCGGAAGTGATCATACGTCAATCTTATTAGGTTCAAGCAATCCCTAAAAGTATGTGGCTGTTGCTCATGTTTCATGTAGAATTAGTGTAAAATAAATATCCTAAAAAAAACTTTTGCTAATACAATTCGCGGGCTAGAACTAATAACGAAAGTTTATATTTTATGAAGAACATACACTGGTAAATATATTTTATGGGTCATTTAACCCAACCCGAAAACCAACTTCGCCTGAATCGCACAAGCCTCTAATCTTTTTATTAACAATCAGACACTTTTTGAACTTTCGACGACTCCAATTACAAATCAAGGCCCTCAAATCTGAATGGGCTTATCACCTTTTGGGATTGCTTACAATCTGACACATTAATGACTTTATATGCTCGTAAAAAGATTACTGAGCGGTGTGAATATGCGATTGGGAATCGGAAAAATCAAAATCCATCAGATTGGCAATCAAAAACGGTTAAATTAATCAGCTGATATAGGTCTGAATTTGGTTTTGGGAAAAACCCTGTACAAGGCAAATAGCCCATTTTAAATTTGGAGCTGCGATGACACTTGGCATTCGAGAAGGTGACACGAGCGGAATATTTGAACACCGTAATTGTGGGAGGCAGATAACAATAAACTCATTAGCAAGCCAATGCAAAGTCAGAAACAATAACATTAATGGGGAGGCGCGAGTAGGAAGTTCACATAATAATATATATTTGCTGTAAACAATTTCCTATTCATATTTGCCGAGCTTATCGGAGGCCAGTTGCGCATAGACAAATAAATATGCGGATAATTGTTTCTCCAGTTGGGGGTGTGAAGGCAACCAAACAATTGATTCACTGCCTCGATTACGTCTAAGCACACACCAAATACCGAGGTGAAAGTCCTCCTCTTCTACTACAACTGACCCTCAAAAACCTAAGGAGTTAACTATGATTATAATGTTGATTGTGAATAAAACAGCTTAAGGGCGTGTGACTGCCCGATAAGCCAAAATAACTAGAAGCACTAATGACTTTTCATTTTAGCATATATAAACTAGTTGTCTGCTAAGTAGTTTAGTTTAACTTTGTTCCTGAACTAGCAATATACTAGATAATTTGGAAATATTTTTTATTCAATTTAAAATAATGTCAGCTTTAGCAAAGCAAAATACACCACCGCCCATATATTTAATCAACTTTGAGAATTACCTGAAACCTAAGCAAAAAATCCAGTGTCAGCCACTTCAGCGTTTCGAGAAACCAGTTGGTTCAACCTCATATCTTATCAAGAACATAAAACGATTAAAGCTGCTTAGATGGTATGGTAGTGTCTCAAAACGCATAGGGCAAGTGCCACTGCCCAGATTCCTAAGATTTCTGCGAGCACGAAATGATGATGGCCTTTGTAAACGAAAGACAGGATTTGAGATCTACTGCGAGATGGCCAGCATCCATGGTTTTCACATTTTTGTGGGCGCCAAAACCTGGCAGCGAATTCTCTGGTGGCTCCTCATTTGCACTGCTGTCTTGCTTTCACTAATCATAGTAATAATGTCACTTTCGATGTCCGAGGAAACGCCAACCATACGCTTTATAGACACCATGATGAAGCCCACGGCGGAGGTTCCATTTCCTGCAGTCACCATTTGCAGTTTCAAAACCATTTCCAGGCAAAGATTGCAGACTAAAGCAAAGGAATTGGGAGTGTCAACAGAGCGTCTCCAAACATTTCCAGCTTTGAACTCTTCTGTAATAGAACAGCTTGGAAATACAAGTTGGCTAGAACTTCTGGAAGATCTAGCTCCTCCCATATGCCCGCAAATCAAATTCTGTCAGTGGGAAAATGGCGTAGATAACTGCCTAGAAAAACTTCTGCCCATTTGGACTCTTGATCAACGCCTGTGCTGCAGTTTTAACTACCGACAGCAGCTCTTTAGCTCTCATTTAGGAGTTGGTATTGTATTAAGGTCTAAAGAAGAGGATCTCAGTGCCCTAGAGATTCTTATACATGAATCCCACGAAATACCCACTGAGGCTACTCCGAGGTTAATGGTGCCCAGCGGATCAGAGGCTCACATAATGCTGCAACCCTTTGTTAATCGATTCTCAAAAAATCTAGAGAGTATTCCGCTTCAAAAACGAGGGTGTTATTTCCCAAGAGAATGTCAGTTAATTTCTTCTGATGTATATTACCAAAGCATTTGTCAGGCAGAATGTCGCACCAAAAAAATGTTAAAATTGTGCGGATGTGTTCCCCCAAATTATCCTCGTCAGGAAAGCTGGTCAATCTGCGACCTAAAACAAATGCAGTGTGTAATCAATTTCGGTAAGTGGCAGAATATTTACGGAACCATTCTGATTTTTTGCTGTTTACAGATCATGATGAGATCATCAAAGGAGAACAAAAGAATTGCGAATGCCTTCCGCCATGTGAATTCAATCGCTATGAATTCCAGGGTGATATAAGACTATTAAAGAGGATTTATAATAACATGAGCAACAAAAGGTATTTGGTTATTAATTGTTTGTTTGCCATTAGAAATATGAATTGATAATCAAAAGAAAAGCTACACATTTGATATTTAGATTTATTGTTATCATAAGATTACTTTTTTCAAAGTCCAATAATAAATGAATAAAAATAAAGTACATAGACTGACTGAAATCGTTTTGAACCGTTTTTTAAGATGTATCATGCTCATATGCTTAAAATATAAATATCCAAATAATATTAAAAGAAAAGTAATAATTTCTTGTAAAATGATTATTATTAAATTAGGTATTAAACACAGGTATTTCTAATCAATATTTCAGCAATCCGAAGCGCACAAATAAAGTGCGCCTCCGTGTCTACTACGACTCACCGATTGCCGAAGAGCAGGTCTTGGACGAGTACGAGAACTGGCTAACATTCATGGGCAAGTTCACTAATGACCTACAAGGTGCCCACCAAAATTACATTCATGGAACAACCCATTTTATGGACAGGGACCTTCGGCGGAATTACCGGACTATTTATGGGTTGCAGTTTCGTTTCGGTCTTCGAGCTGATTTTCTTTTCGTGTGTTCGACCCACTTGCAACTGGCTGACCCGCCAGCAGATACTCTGGCGACGTCGGAGGATCCAGAGGGTGGGCGATCCAACACCGGCGAGGTCATTAGGGCTGGCTAATTAGGCGCTGGCCTAATTACTTCGTCTGCGGTCAAGTCACAGTCGTCGCAAGGAGGTCAGCCTGTAGAGATGGCATTCAAAAAGCGGCGCATCTTCGATTTGCGGCAAGTTCAGGCCCAACAGATGGCCACCAACGCCGGTCACAGACGCAGTGAACCGAGCCACAATCAACCACATCATCCACTCCTGCCTAACCACCGCTTCCGCCAGATCGGAGAATGGTTCTCCGAGAATATGCGCAACTACTGCCAGACCACTTCGCTTCACGGATTCAGTTACATCACGCGGCAGGATATTAGTCGCAATGAGCGATGGTTCTGGCTAGTGGTTGTAATCCTGGCCATCATCACTTCGATAGTGCTGGTTGTGGTGTCCTGGTATTGGAGTCAGGAAACCCTAACGGTGACCGTCATCGAGAGCTCGCACTTCCCCACCTGGAACATTCCTTTCCCGGCCGTCACCATTTGCAATTTCAACAAGATATCTAAGAACAAGGCACTCACCATGCTGGATCAAATGTAAGTTGGAAAAATATATTTATTTAATATATTTACGTAAAAAGAATGAACGAATACTGTATCATATTTATTTAGTTCATTTTATTTTAAAGAATCTCTTGGATTAACTATCTATTAGCTTTGTACATATTTAATGTCACATATTTAAGTAATGACTCACGAAATGCCTTTGATTTATATTCCACATATTCTTATATTTTAACCAAGTTTTTAATCATGGGTTAATAAAGTCAAAAGAAATATTCTTCTTCAGAAATAACAATACTATTTGTCATATTTTGTATAGGCAACTTCCCGTTGGTGTTAATAAATCAGAATTACACAACCTCTTCAATCTTACACTGTTGCCCGTGGACAACCTGATTAGCAACAGTTCGCTGCAGATATACGACCGGATCTTAGCCCTCAATAACATCACGCTCACGGGTTTAACCCAGCAATTGTCACCCGACTGCATCGACATGATCTCCAGTTGCATTTGGAAGGGCATCAATACGCGATGTGACAGCCTATTCCAACGCATTGATACCATGGAGGGACAATGCTGCACTTTTAATTACTTTGGCGGTGTCACCAACAATTTTCCAGAGTAAGATTGAGAATTAGAAAAGGTATTTTTGTTGATTCAAGAATTGTACAATTACTTCGTAGGAAAATCGCATATCAGGTTCCCAAGCGACCGTATCGCGTCACGGGCTGCGGCTATCCCACGGGTCTCTCGGTGCTGCTGAACCCCATGGTATCCGACTATTACGGAACCTTCTTTAGTGGCTACGGATTCCGCTTGCTCCTCCACGATGCCTATAACTTTCCGGATGAGAATTCGGAGACCAAAGTGGTCACTTCCACGAGGGAGAGCTTCGTGCGCATTAATCCGGAGTCCACTTACGCGACCAATGACATTCGCCGCATGGATCTGACCCTGAGGAACTGCCTCTTTGGCAGCGAACGGAGCATGCACGGTCTAAGGCGGTACTCCTTCATCAACTGCATGTTCGAGTGCCGGGTGCGGATGACCATTGATCACTGCGGTTGTCTTCCGCCGTATGTGTATAACAACGGCAGCTTCAAAGTTTGCGGCGTGCTGGAAACGAACTGCATGATTCACAGCAAACGTGGGTGAATAAATCGAAGGGATGCGATATATAATGATATCTTATTATTACAGGGCTCTTTTCCCATGCCCTGGCTAATTTGAATTTCTCGCTTTCGATTGTTCGAGAGACGGATAGCTTTCCATGCGGCTGTCTACCGGATTGCCAGTCGAATCATTATGTTTCGGAAAGTACGGTGGGCCGACTGGACATGAGCTACTTTGCCAACCGACCGACCTACAGGTGGGAAGAATTTTTACTATGCTCAAGAATAGGAATACCTAAACGTAATCCTCTTTGCTTCTGATAAATAGCAATTCAACGGAAGGGATACTTCTGCATGTGTTCTTTAGCGATCTGATGAGTACCAGATATCGAACGGATATCTTCCAGAATTGGTTGTCTGCCTTGGGTATGCTATAAACCATTTCCACAAAACACTTTTGATTACTTACTATTTTCTTTTGACAGCTTCATTTGGAGGTTTGCTTGGCCTAATTATGGGATTCAGCATTGTGACGGCCTTTGAGTTCCTCTACTTCCTCACATTTAGACCCATTTTCAACTACATCAACAGGGACTAGACCAGCAAAAGCCACCTCCCCTTGCACTTCATTGCACCCCCACTTGACACGCTTTCATTAGAGCTCTGATTGATGAGCAGTAGTAGTTAGCACTATAAATTGTCTGGACTCGAGCACTCTTCAAACACAATGGCCCGAGTAGAGGAGTCCCACTATCGGCACTTGTTCCGTGAGTTTTTGCGCCAGAGTTACATCAATGGGCTGCATCCGTTCTTATACCATTCACCCGTTCGTTATGCCAAGTGAGTTATAAAAGCTTTATAAGTTAGAAATTGAAATCTGGAAATTAATTAATTTTCCATAAGTGAACAACAATGAAATAAAATTACCTTTTAAGATTACAAAATTAAATTAAGTTTATATTCCTTTTATCTGTTAAAAATGAAATATTCTATAAAACGACAATGTTGAAGATAAATATGTCGATTTTTCGATAAGTTTTTATTTATCAGCTATATGATATAGTCGTCCGATCTCTCACGTTTTGTCTGATAGTTTGGGAATCCGCTGGTGATGCTAGCCATAAATATATATACACTTTATATGTCCAAAATTTGGTATCTAAAAAATATGGTAAACAAAAAAGTTTTGAAAACCCAAAAAAAAATGTATTTTAATATGTTTAATTGAAGATGCTAAAGAATTTACGGAGCCTGAAAGTATGAAACAAAATTGATCTACTCGGTTTTTGAAAAAAGACAAATCTAATTTAAGCTGATCAAAAAGGACTATTCCTGTATATATCAATAGATTTACAACGTAGAGTACTAAACGCTTTGGGGGTAGTTTTCCCTTGGATCGGCTGTTGACTTGTGTTATTTATCTGCTATTTGCAGAGCTCTCTGGCTTGCACTGCTCACAGCCATTGTGATCTACACCCACATAGTGATCGTTAATCTCACCCAGGAGTACCTGGTGCAGCCGACCGAGATCCACATGGTCCCCGACCTGGTGCATGTGGCCAACAGCCCCTTTCCCGCGGTTGGGGTGTGCACCGCCAACAAAATCAGCCAACGCCTGCTCCGGGATTATGCCGTTAAACTGTGAGTACTTTATTAGTGAGTTGTTTAGTCGAAGTAGCCCAAGGTCTTGACCTCGTCGACCATGGCCACAATGGAGTCGAGCAGCTCCTCGCTGGCAGGAACGATCTGCTCGGCTGGAAGCCTGAATCCAGTGAAGTAGGAGGTCGAGGAGGGACGCAGCTCGTAGCAGAAGGACATGCGCACATCCTGGGTGCCGTAGGCCCAATCAATGCTAGCTCCAGCCGCCGGGTAGATGGCATCGTATACATTTCCTCCGGTGTACTTGGTTCCATAACGCTTGTTCACAGCGGCAACGGAGGCGTCGAAGACCTTCTCGAAATCGGCCACATTGTCGGGCAGCTCGGCGGAGTGACCATAGGGGTACAGAAGGTACTGGGAGTAGGCGTGCAGGGAAAGGTACAGCTGGATCTTGCCCTTCAGGGATGCGATGTAGCTGGACAGGGACAGGGTCTCGATCTCGGAGAAGGCCGAGGGTCCAGAGTAGGTGTCGGAGCAGGGATTGTCGCTGGTGCCGGCCTCGTTCCAGTGGAAGCCCCAGTTCCTGTTGGGATCAGCGCCGAAGCAGCTGCCATAGGGAGTACGGGTCTTGCGCCACAGGCGATCGGTGGTGTGGGTGTAGACGTAGCCATCGGGATTGGCGTGGGGCAGGACGTACCAGGTGTAGTTCTCGGCCAGCTTCTTGACAGATTCCTCCTTGGAGGTCAGCAGTTGGTTAATGATGTAGGTGGCGGCCGCCGGGGCGATCCACTCGCGGGCATGGATACCGGCCTCCAGGAAGATGCCGGGCTTGTTGCTGCCTCCCTTGGTGATCTTCACGCCCAGGATGGAGCGTCCCTGATAGGACTTGCCACCCTCGATGAGGGTCACCACTCCGGGGTATTGGTTGGCCAGGGTCTGCAGCCAAGCGTAGGTGTCGTCGAGCTGGTAGTACTCGGCCCAGTTGTAGGCCTTGGTGGCACGTCCCTTGATGGCAACCTTCTCGTCGGTCTGGTCCATCGACTTCTGCACATCGCTCGACTCCAGCTGGTACTTGATCTCCGACTTGCCCATGATCTCCAGGAAGTCGGGCACCTTGTGGGGTGCCACAATGATCTGCACTTCGGCACCGACAATATGGACTCCGTCCAGGAACAAGATTGAGTCGCTGGATCCCTCCAGCTGCTTCAGAACCGCCAATTGCTTGGCATTCTCCGAGGTGGCCTTGTACATGCGGTAGTTGTCATAGCGAACCCGTTCAGCGGATGCGGTGGCCACGATGGCCAGGAGGGCGAAGAGAAGGCACTTGGTCAGCGACATGGTCGTCGTTGCTTTGAGCCACCAGCGGGTACACCACTTCCTTTTATAGGCCTCCGATAAGAATGGCCCGAATCTAATTTACGGTCTGCGAATGGCTTTGACAATCGCTCGGGCAGTAAATATCGGAGTAATCTTTGCATTCGGTGTGGAACACCTTTATCGCCGTCTCAACGGCTGCGCCTGGTAAATCATTATACGGGAATTACTTATTCTCTTCGGGAAAATGTCATATCATCAGACAATAGTCACATGTCCTTGTCAAGAAAAGCGAAAAGTTTCTGCCAATATGTTGTTACTGTTCTTAAGGCACATCCATTTTGATTATTTAAACTTTTACAAAAGGGGTAAATCTCATTAATCTTATCTAAACATTGAAATTTGTAAAATTCCTGTTCTTTTGTCACCCGCTTTAAAAATCTTTATTATCATATCTCATTCAAATGTGTAGTTTCATCTTATCAACCCGCCTTAGTTATCTTCGACAATCAAGCAAGGTTACGTTTAGTTTTTGTCATAAACAACAGATCTCTTCCCTTCGTATCTTATCAAAAAGACTTTGTTTTCAAAAAAGCTTTCTCTCTTTTATTGAATTTTATAACCCTCGATTTGGGCAGCAGCCTTAATCATTTCCACCAAAGAGTCTGTGGTCTCCTGACCAGTAGGTATTATTTGGGAGGCGGGAAGTCTAAATCCGGTCCAAAAACTGTAACCAGAGGGACGCAGTTCATAGCAAAAGGAATACTTCACTTTCAGCACACCATAGACCCAATCCATGCTAGAACCAGCTGCCGGGTAAATCGCATCGTAGACATTTCCGCCCGTATAACGTGTTCCGTAACGCCTCTTCACTGCGCCCACGGCTGCATTGAAGATCTGCTCCAACTCCTTATGATTTTCCGGCAGTGTGGAAGTGTGTCCATAGGGATATAGCAACAGCTGGGAGAAGGAGTGCAGCGAGAGGTACATGAACATGGGTTCTGGCAGGGACCTGAGGTACTGCGATAGGGTCTCCACCTCGCGTTCGGAGAACGCCTTGGGTCCGGCATATGACTCCGAGCAGGGATCAGAGCTAGCCCCCACCTCGCGCCAGTGGAAGTCCCAGTTTCGATTCGGATCCGTCCCAATGCAGTTCTTGTCCTGTGGACTCCGGGTCTTGCGCCACATTCGATTCTATAAAAAATTCAGACATTCTAATTTTAACTTTAAACGGTATGTTTTAATAGAACATTATTGTAGAATGGGTAATTGGACTAGTTTGTTCGAAAAATGTCCATGACAGACTTACAAACCTACCGTTAAGTGGGTGTAGACATAGCCGTCCGGGTTCGCATGGGGTAGTATGTACCACACATAAGATCTGGCCAAGCCCTTGATCTGCGGCTCCTGGGAGGTCAGTAGTTCGTTGATGAAATACGTGGCTGTGGCAGGACCTATCCACTCCCGAGCATGCATTCCAGCCTCCAAAAAGATTGATTGCTTTTCTGCTCTACCATCGTTGTGATTAATTTTTAGGCCCAACAGCTCGCGTCCCTCATAACTCTGGCCTGCTATAAAGACACTGACAACATCCGGGTATTTGCCCACCAGATTCTGCATCCAACGATGCGTGTCATTCAGCTCGTGGTATTCCGTCCAAGAGTAATCATCACTTCGGCGATTTGCATCCGCAACAGGCTCTATATCCAGGGATAAGCTAGCCTGGGCATTGTTATCGATGAGTTCTGGAGTGAGATCCAAGCCTTTTAGGAGCTCCACAAAGGTTTTATCGTAGCTGGGAGCTACTAGAAAGTCGGTGGGGCCAAGGTGGAGGTTGTTTAATATTAAGGCATCCTCGCTCTTGGCCTCCAAAGGTCGCAGTCCCTCCAATTGATTCGCTTTCGTTGGGTTCACTCTATAGACCCTGTAGTTGTCGAACCTCTTGCGCTCAGCCAAGCAAAAAGTAAGAATATACACCGACAGTAACACCAGTAGAAGCTTCATGCTGGCACTAATCCAGGGTTAGCCTTGCTGCAGGTCTTTTATACCCCACCCGAGTGCAGTGAGGCATACTAATTTCGGATTGTAACACTCCACGCCCCCAATAGATTCCAACACCAGGGCAACTCCTCTCTGCAGGCGGTGGCCCTAGACGTGGACGATATGGCCGATCGCCTGCTGGTGCTGGCTCAGTTTTACCTGAGCCCCCTCGAAACTGAACGTTGGAACGCCTCGGAGCTGGATCGACTGCACCGGCTGCTCTTTAGTTACTATCACGACAGTGAATACTCGGTGGGCGAGATATTGCGGAATTTGTCGCCCGATTGCGGGGAACTGGTCATCAGGGGCATCGTCTTCGGGGCGCCTGTAAACACCAGTCGAATGTTCCTAAAGCGACCAACCTCGACGAATGTGTGTTGCATATTTAACTATCGACGTGCCAGCAATTCCCCATTTGCGTAAGTTTATACCCAAGAAAACTTCTAAAAGGTGTAATAACTAATTTTTATTTTTAGCAGCAGGAGGGCAGAGGATGATGCCGAAATGAAAGCTGTTCCTAGGGTCGTCTTTGAATCGAATTCTATATTGAACAGCGTTCAGTTTGTGCTACAGGGTACACCAAAAGAGGATTTTACCAACACCTTTAACACCAACAACGCTTTTCATGTGAGTACCTAATCCGAACCTAATTTTTATTAAATTATTGATTTTCTTATTAAATTTAAGATTAATTAATCAATTATTTTATTAATTACACTAGTTTTTCAGGTATAATGATAATGAAGTTAACTTTAAGGTGTCTAGTTGACTTAACTTTTCGTATTCCACTAGCTCACCATTTTTCCCCAAGAGGACTATGCCACCATTCAATCCACGACATTGGGAGAGGTGCTTGTGAATCATAACTCCATAGTGGAGATTCCCATACAGCCAATGTTTTTTAACTCAGCTAAAGATGTTTACGGAGTTTCACCAAAAATACGACGTTGCTACTATCCTGAAGAAGGCAGTCGATTGCTGAACCAGTGAGTGTCTATCATAGGAAAGCTATCCGATCATTATAGAATCACCTTCCAACAGATCGTACTACTCCATGGATGAATGCCTCCTGGTATGCCGCATCAAGAGTATGGTCGACCATTGTGGCTGTGTCTCTCCTCCGATGGTGGGAAGTTCCGTTGACTTCGCCTACTGCATGCTACCCGATCTTCCCTGCCTGATGAGGTGGAAGAGCATCTGGTATGGCTACAATGAGTTTGCCTTCCTGCAAGGCAAGGAGGAACACTTAGCTCAACGGCAATGCGAACACTGTCTACCCACCTGCAACGGGGTTAGCATGAGCATCACCAATAATGTGGCACCCTTAAGAAGAACTTATAATAGTACTGGTTACTTAAACGGTTTACTGTAAGTCATGAATGAATTTTGTAAAATAACTAAGTAAGCAATTATATCTTTATAACAGAAAGGGATTGAGCAACGAGCGACCATTGGCCATAATTAAGCTCTTCTTTAAGCTGCGTTTTGCCCAAGCCACCAAATCCCAGCTAGTAAGCTCATGGGTTGTTCTTCTGAGTAAGTATTTTGTAAGCTTTTAAAAACTCTAAAATGACTATTACCTGGCAGATCGATTTGGAGGCATCCTTTCGCTTATGTACGGCTTCAGCATAGTCAGCTACATAGAGATCCTCTACTATCTCACGGGAAAAGGGTTTGTCTACATATACAGATCACTTACTTATAAAAAGCTTGGCAAACGCAACTACTCCCTTTACTGGCACGAACTTATGCCCAAGGGCCCTAAAAACCTACCGCTTCAAAATTAGCTCCTACATTAATTGCATTCTTATATTCTGAGCATAATACACTTTATATTTAATTCGGTCCGCGTACGCTCACAAATAATCAACAATAAAATGAACTTATATCAAAAACCGTATATAATGCAAGCCGTACAACGCCGAATAGCGATCACTAAATAGATCCACATCCTGCTAGTAGTCGTCGCCTCGGGACACCACTTCTTTGCAAGTGGGTCGCAGCATAATGGTGTGTTCGTACTGAGCCGTATAGCACCCCTTGATGTCGCACAGCGGCGGGTAGGCCTCCACAATGCCCTTGTCGCACAGATCCTTGAGAGCCATCTGGTACTTTGAGGCACCGGCGCGGTCCAGCCAACGCTTGCAGAAGGCCAGGGTGCCGAAGTTCTTGTTGATAGTGCCCAACAGCTGCTTGGAGCTCTGCAAACGCAGTGGCACAAATGGCAGCTCAAAGTTCTTCATGTAGTGAGAGCAGTCCATGTCGTCATGAACCAAACCGCGACCCGTCGAGCCGAATGTCTCGATGGCGTAAAACTCGTCCTCCTCCATACGAGTGGACTCGCCGCCCTTTACAATTGGCACGGTTTTTCCAGCATGGATACCTGCAAATGGAAATTAAAAGTTAATATCTGTTCAAAAAGTAAAGTTCTACATTATAGCACAACTTATTTAAATATATACACACATGGTAAATATCTTCTTAACATTAACAATTTACTCACAACAACTATATTTAAAATTTGTTAATAAATAAAAATTGATTGAATCACTTCTTGAATTTAACTTTAACAAAATGTTTTTAACAAATTTGAAACGAAATCAATAGACGATATTAGCAGTATCAATTCTGTTCAATTCTTTCTGGGTAAATGAATTTGTGCTATAATTCAAATTAATTAGTTTCAGGGCTTACGGTACGGGCTGATCGAGTGTCCGTTTAAGTTGCGAATGGCCTTAATGGGATATGTCTTGCCGTCCAGCTCGATCTCGTACGACTCCATGACCTCCTGGATAGCAGCTCCGATGTCGCATAGGCGCACATCGATTCCCGCCTCCTTGATGCCCGTGTTGGTGGCCTCCTTGACGGCTTGCAACAACTTGTCATACTTGTTGTTGAAGGTCAGGGTGAAGGCGCAGTCAATGATCCTGCCCTTGATGTGGGTTCCAAAGTCAATCTTGCAGACGTCGTCATACTGCAGCACAGTGGTGTCCCCAGCATTGGGCGTGTAATGGGCGGCGCAGTGGTTAAGAGAGCATCCGGTCGGGAAGGCCAGTCCAGCCTCCAGACCATTCTCGCCGATCAGGCGGCGGGCTGTGTTCTCCAGCTCTTCGCAAATCTGGATCATGGTCATGCCCGGCTTGATGTACCGTTGCATGTACTGACGCGTCTGCCGATGAGCTTCGGCCGCCTGGCGCAGCTCCTGGTAGATGTCCGTGTTCATGCGGTCCAGAGCACGCTTCTCCTCCGACGTGAAGCGGTCCTTGGCCGTGCGGTCGTCCGCCAGATCCTTGGGCGTGGGGTGCTCAACGATCTCGCCCTCGGGAAAGTTTCCATCCGGATATAGCTTAGCGATGGGTATGGTCGGTGGATCTGTCTGACCGCTCTTCTTGCCTTTGTTGCTCTTCTTCTTCGCCGGCTGAGCGGCCGCAGTCGCCGGTTTGGCATCTCCGTTTGTGGTCAGCTCCTCGTCACCGCCTTCCCCGGCCTTCTTGGCCGCCGCCTCTGTAGGTGATTGGGTTGGTGAGTGGGTTGGTTGGTGGGTGGTTGTGGCGGAGTGGGTCGTGCAGTTGCAATTACCGCAGTGCACTGCTCGCATGAGGTTACTCACCTTGGCGCAGTTTCTTATTGTTCGGCTTCGGCTTCTTCTGTTTCTTGGCCTCCTCGCCAATCTCGGCCGTAGCCGCCTCCACATTTAGGGCCTCGGTTGCCGACATTTCGGAGTGTGTTGGTTGCTGGTTAAACGGTTAAATAAACGAAAATCTAGCGCGCACTCTTGCCTGGCGATGGCGATGCGGAGAAAAGAACAAAAACACGAGGTGTCCGGTGCCAGTGTTGAAAAACGACCAGTGGAATATCGGAACCAGACGGATATTACCGTTTTGGTGATCGGTCTTAATTATATATGTATTTTGTATTTATTTTGTTTATTGATTGCTTAAATAAATACACTTGTTGACCCTTTTTATCATTGCACTTCAACTCAATTTCCAGAGCTTTGAAAGAGCGGTACCAATTAGTATGGCAGTACCAGGCGTTAGACAACTAATTACATGATTTAGAATTTTCATCCAATTTTTTATTTGAAAAGTCAAAGCTATCTTAGAACATGTTTCTGAATTTAGGTTTTTTACTTTCTTTAGGGCAAATATATCACGACTTTCAAGTGTCAATAAAATAGTGTTTTTAAAACATAGTAAACGTCCAAATTAAAATAAATTTAAAATTCATTATAGTATAAATCATTTTTGAAACTTTGGTGGTAGGATTTTAGACGTGTTTCCATTTTTAAAAATTTTCTTTTCCAAATAGCCGATATTTTAGCAAGGCAAATATCCTATATTTATTCTCAACTCCATACAATCTGGTTCACAGCACCGGAACTAGTGTTGCTACACACGAAACAAGTGCAACTGAATATTGTCCAGCCCTGGTTTATTTTGTTTATAATCGCTGGCACTGTCCAAATCCCACTTAAATGGACGAAATCCTGTTTCCCACGCAGCAGAAAAGCAACTCCCTGAGCGACAGTGATGATGTCGACCTAAAGTTCTTCCAAACAGGCTCCAACGAGCGGAAGGATAGCGAAACCTCGGATCCGGGAAACGACGCGGATCGCGATGGCAAAGACGTGGATGGAGACAGCAAAAACACGGACGGAGACGGGGACTCCGGCGAACCGGCGCACAAGAAGCTCAAGACCAAGAAGGAACTGGAGGAGGAGGAGCGCGAACGGATGCAGTAAGTTGGTTGGCAAATAACTCTATCCCATATCTTCTAACAAATCCTTTTTTTCCTCTCCAGGGTTCTCGTATCCAACTTCACTGAGGAGCAGCTAGATCGCTACGAGATGTATCGTCGCTCAGCCTTTCCCAAGGCCGCCGTAAAGCGCCTGATGCAGACCATAACCGGATGCTCAGTGTCCCAGAACGTCGTAATCGCCATGTCCGGCATCGCAAAGGTTTTTGTGGGCGAGGTGGTGGAGGAGGCCCTTGACGTGATGGAGGCTCAAGGAGAATCTGGTGCCCTTCAACCCAAATTCATTCGCGAGGCAGTGCGCCGGCTGAGGACCAAGGATCGGATGCCCATTGGGCGGTACCAACAACCGTATTTCAGACTGAACTAGCGAGTCGTGGAATTTAGTTTGTAAGACTGTTAGTCAATATAAAAATAAATCTAAAATTTTACCAAACAGTTTATTGATTTTGGCTTGTCATGATCATTTTGATAAACTTTGAAGCCTATTATTGAAAAGCTTGGATGAACCATATTTTTTAAACATTAAGGTTTTAATAAACACATTGTGCGAAGGAGTCTACTATATATAAACGTAGAGTTGAAAATGTACACCAGTGGTACGTGGGTATTTGTTAAGAAAAATTTGTGGGTAAAGTTTAAAAGTTATCTTTAGGGAATTACATTTTTAGTTGCATTAGTTTCATGTCGACTAAAATCAAATTCCAATACTCTACTGAAAAATTTTACTTTGTTCGATCCTAGAATCAGGTTGGTTGTGTGAAGTAGCGGAAAAACATAAACAAATAAATACAACTGATATATGAAGTATTAACGTAAAACTATTTAGCCCTTGAGAATATACGAACTTCAGAACCATTTTTTTTTAAGGAAAATTTATTTTTCTTTAATGTTTTTTGACAGGTCCGTATGGCGTTAAACCTTTTCTACATCAATTTTATGTAGCTTATTTATCTTTCAATGTTATTTAATTAATCCAGTCATTAAGTAGATATTATGTAGTTATCATCCCATTTGTTGTACAGTAGAATACGCATCCGTTTACAAAAGCATCTTTAATGAGTGGGATCGCTATATGAATGTGTTCCGAAGTTACTCCAGTCGCCGGGCCTCGGCTTGCATGGTCTGGAGTACGATGTGGGGCACCAGGTGCGTGGAGGCGTAGTTCAGGGGCACGGTGGCCAGTGGCGCCGAGCCGTCGGATGGGAAGTTTAGCTCCTGAGCCATTGGCATGTCCCTGTCGATGACGTCCTGGGCGATCAGGGTCTTGGTCTCCTCGTACTCCATGCCCGCTTCTGGCTTGGCGCCCATCAAGAGTTTTCCTCGCTGAACGCCCATGTACTGGGTGGCCTTGGCATTCAAAGGCAACTGGCCGCAGGTGTCGGCGTGCACCTTGCGATGAGCCTGCAAGTTGGAGATGCAAGTGAAGCGCTTGCCGCAGTTGTTGCACAGGAACCGCTTGATGCCCGTGTGCACGGTCATGTGGGTGAGCAAGCTCTCCCTGTACGGATACTCCTTAGGGCACAGGTGGCACTTGTACGGCTTGTAGTCGGTGTGCCGCGTCTTCAAGTGCGACTTGTACTGCGCCTTCACCTTGAATGTCTTGCCACACTTGTCGCACTGGTACGGCGTGTCTGCCTTGTGAAGGAGCATGTGCGTCTTGAGAATACTGTGGGATGGAAGATAACTTGTTAATATGGGTAACAAAACCTAAATGCACAAATATATTGGCTGCTCACAGCGTTAAACAACATTGAAGTATCTTGATCATTTAAAATTAATGATTTAAAATCATCATATTGCTACTAATTCAAAAAAAATGTTATTGATACAATACAAAATACATATCGATGTACAGTGCACTACTTTTAGATTGAGTATACTAAGCTATTCTATTCATTAAATATTTATCATTGATCGATTTATCAAAATCAGAAAAAAATAAAAATCTCTTGATTTTAAGGAAGGTAATCTACTCCAATTGTGATTTAACACAATATTACGAAAAAATTAAATATACTATCCGCATCTTACCCAGCTGTGGACAAATGCTTGCCGCAAACGCTGCAGCCGTAGAGTGGCAGACGGCCACAGTCGGAGCGCACGTGATCTGAGAGCGATGTGCGTCCGGTGAACTTTTTGCCACACTTGTCGCAGATCAAGTTGCGCTGCTGACTGCGCGGTTCCTTCTTAGAGTGGAAGTTACGTTCGTGGTTCTTGAGGCTGTCGTGGCCGGTCATGTATTTGTCGCACTTCTCGCAGTAAAGAAGCTCTTTGTGCTGGGCCCGGGCGTGCTCCGTGGCCTGTTCCTTTGTGGCGAAGAACAGGTTGCAGTAACAGGGACACTTAAACGTCAGCTTGCCGTCTTCTCCGTGCACCTTCATGTGGGTGACCAAGCGCTTCTCCACCAAGTAGATCTTGCTGCATATGGGGCACTTGAAGACCTCCTCGTCCAGCTTGGCATGCACGTCCACATCCTTGAAGATCTCCTTCATCTCCTGCTCGTTTAGCTTGTGGTCATCGCGCAAATGCTTCTCGTAAGGCTTGCGGATGTGGTAGATTTTAACGCAGTGCGGACACTTCCAGGACTTCTCCATCTTGTTAATCATTTTGAGGCGCTCTTTTAGCTCCTTTTTGCTAATCTTAGCTACGCGTTTTGGTGTACCCGATGAATCCTCAGGCGAGGGCGATCTCGGTGCGTTTCGCTTGCGATACTTTCTCTTGACCACAGGTATCTTCTCCTTGGGCGGCCTGCCACGTTTTCTCACCCCGGTTTTCTCCTTGTTATGACCCCTTAAAGCCAGGACATCTTCCTCGGCCACCTCCACCAACGGTACAGCCGCAATCTCGTCTAGTATGCCAGCTCCCTGTTCCACCTTTAAGCTCTCGAATGGCTTCAGGCCATCGCCCTCATTGAGCAGCACATCCAGTAGCTTATCCTTTTCGTTGCTGAAGATATCGGTGCTTTCCGTCTTCACATACATGCTGGCGTCCTGGTACTCGAAATCCTCCTCGTCAAAGGCCTCTACCTTGACCATGGCCGGCGGAGGCAGCTGGAATCCGGATGCATCTGCATCGTCATCACTGTTGTTTGGCTCAAAGTCGGGACACTCGTCGCCCGAGTCCGAGTTCTGGCTCTCCTGCTTGAGCTTCGTCTTCAGCCGGCTGGCCAGAGGAATGTCATCGTCGCTATCCGACTCCTCGGTGGTGGTCTCATCATCAGAGCCCCTGTTTCTACCCTTCTTGCGGAAGGACTTTCGTTTCTTCTGATCCGATCTGCCGGGTGAATCGTACTCCGGCTGGCCACAGGTGTCGAGACGACTGCGTCGGTGCTTGGTCAGATTGGAGCTGCTGGAAAAGCGGGTGAAGCAGCACTTGCACTCCATGGGTCGGGACTCCTCCTGAGGGGGGAAACAATGATTAAGGAGCGATCTTTGTTAGTGCTTGGAATGTACTCACCTTTGACGGTTTTTCCTCGCCACACTTGGTTCTACAATGGCGCCGATATGCCTCCTGGTACTTGTACTCCGCCCCGCACTTCTCGCAAACAAAGGGTTTGCGTTCCTGTCCAGCCGCCGACCCGGTGACTCCGTGCTCATCCTTGGCGTGCTGGGTCAGCTCCTCCTCGTGGCAAAACCGAGCATCGCAGTGGCGACACTCGAAGCCGCCCGGCGGCTGGTGCTTCTTTACGTGCTTCACATATCCGGCCAGGGAGACCAGAGCCTTGTTGCACACCGGGCAGTGCAGCTTGGGCACCCCGTCCGTGGTGATCTCCACCAGAAGTTTGGGGGCCATCGACTCGGCAGCTGCGGATGGAGGAGGGGCAAATGTAAACAAGTGCAAATTTGGTTTTCGGTTGGTTTGGGTTTGTATGCGCCTACCAGGGCTGGGAGGCTTGAGCTTGGGCCTAATTGCACTTGTCGCGATACTTTTTGGCTTTTCAAGTCGCCTTATTTCTGGCAGTAACAAGGTTCGGCAGGTTACATTTTTTACAATGATATGATTGAAGGAAATCAGTTCAAGTGACTGATCTTTATAGAACGTGCATTTATCACAGTAACTTGAAAAACTAACAGGTTAATAATGTTTTAACTGTTTACTTCCGTCTAATCTTATACAAATTAAGTAATTTTAAGTAATATACATATTTAACAATATTAATGCAGTTTATTTAGATAATTTTTGCACATGCACTTACTTAAATGCCTTCTTAAATTTCAAATAACCGTACTTTTTAGCTTTAGCTTTAAAATGTATCTATGTATCTTGTAGCTTTATTCAAAAGTTCTTGCAAATTTACCAATTAAAAACCAGCTATTAAGCATTAATGAAATTGTTTCTCAAAAATTAATTTAAATTAAAATTAAGAGTAACGTGTAATTTTTATATTTTGAACTAGTTAGTTTCAACTATCTTAAAGGAAGTAAATTATTTAAGCACAAATCCTTTATCCAAAAGTTGTAACTCATAAGCAAATTACAAGATACAATATCGCATAGTATCTTGTATCTGTTTTTTTTCTTTGTAACTATCGTCTCCGAGCCCTTTGTTCGATATATTTCCCCCTTTTCCAGTTCTCAAGTTGTTCTTGCCACCAACAACCGATTAGCGACGCTGTGTTGCAGCCCTGGTGGCATTGCGTTCGTAGAGTTGGTGGGCGAGGGGTGGGGGCGGGGCAGGTAGCAGGACAGCGACGACTTGGAAGTGCGCGCATCACGCAGAAATGCTCCTAGTTGGCTGCATCGGCTGTACCCCGAAATGGGGCTCCACCCGCCGCCTTATCCCCCGATATCGGGCGATACACAACTACACCATATACCACACACCATACACCTACACCTACCCATATCGGTTCGGTCGAGTGGCGCTTCCTTGGGTTCTCTGCTCTCTCCGACTCTCCGATTCCGATTCAGATTCTCAGACACCGCTGGGGTCAGACAAATACAAATGTCTCGCTAATGATGGCTTCGCCTGATTTCGACTTCGATTTTGGGTTTGGGTTCTGCGGTCCACTCTGTTTTGCGCCGATTGCAGCTCGCTGCATTTTCACTCACACTTATATTCGGCTATTATTGTTTGTTGTGGTCGGGCCGAGCACTGCGAAAAATATTAACAACTCTTAAGTACACTTTAAAAAATGAAAAAACGCCAATGCGCTGCTGGCGAGTAAATTATTTTTCTTTGTGCAGCTCGAGGGTGGCAATGCAGCCCTGGTCGCTGCGCTCACCTGAACAGCGGAACTAGTTCGCGGGCAGCGTCGCTAAGAACTAGTTCGGAACCAATTAGCTCGCTAGTTTTCGTTCATACCGTTTGAAAGCGAGGCGCCATTTCCCCTCCACGGTTTGAGTCTACGCTTGAGGTATTTTTCTGGTATAATGAGGGTTATTTTCGCGAGAAATTCGTTTTTTGCACTGATTTTTGAAATACATTAATAACTCACAACATTCTAATATTTCAGACATATATTACATTCTCATTCTTAATGTGTTTTTATTATTTTTCTTTCAAATAAATACAAAATTGTTCATTGTTTTTACAGCGAGACAGCAGCGTCCAGGGTTGCATGGCGCACTTTTTGGCGGGGAATTCAAAATTTTAAATACATTGCATCAATTTTTAAGCTGAAAAAAATAAGTTAACGAGATAATAAGTTAACTATGATTTTTTAATTCCCAATACTTGCATTCGATTTTGGATTTTAAAAATTAATACCTAACCTAATCCAATACCTCATTTGAAAATCAAATGAATATCGTACTAATGATAATCATATCCGATTTGTTTTGGCAAAAAGTAAATTTAAATTTAAAACACCTCTTACCTAGATTATTTATTACATTTACAATGAAAGTATGATGCACTTAGCTACAATAATATTGGATTTTATTATGGCTACAAAAAAAACATTAATTTAGTTTTGAGAAATTTTAATTCCTTATATATTTCAAAGGTGTCAAAGGTGTCATCCATTCATTGAAGTAATTTTTTCGATACAAAATTTGTTTAGGCTTTAAAAGGTGTTTTGAACTAAGAATATCCAAACATACAAACATTAATTTATACCAAAAACAACATTTTAAGTGCCCTTTTATTATTTATTGAGTCCAACTGCACCAGAAACTTAAATCTTCGTTTTTCAAATTACTGTAAAGTGTATTTGAATTAATAAATATAAAATACCCAAAACTATGACTTACAATAGTCATATATGGACAGGCATTTATTTTAAGCGCTAGTGATATTACTGCTATTTAATCATGTATCTTTTAATAACAACAAGTATACATATATGTATACAATTTTATCAAAACGTAATCAAACAATTTTCCTTAAAAGTTTCCATACATAAGAAGTTGTATCCTTTTAAACATTTTAAATAAAAATGTCACTTAATTAATTAAAAAAAAAAAAACAAGTTTTAGACATTAAAAAGGACATTTTAAGTGTTTAAGGAAAATTAAATGAACATACTCACAGTACAAGAAAAGGTAAACATTCGTCTCTGCAGTCTGATGCTCACCGGCATCAAAAACGTACAAAATGAAAATTCCTATATCAAATTTCGCCGCTGAACATTTTCTCCTGTCACTTTTGCACAGAGATTTTCCGTTCGTAGGCGGTTTGATTCAGGTGAGTGTCAGGCTTTAATTGGAATTATTTTTACGGTGTCGAACTTTGGCTGTGCCCAATTTAGATCTCTGCCTGCCGTTTGGTATTGATACCCAAATCCCCATTCCAATCCCCAATTCCCACCGACCTAAGCCCTCGAGGCCACTGAGTACTCTATTTTGATTTGGGGGCGATTACATTCAGGAAATTTACACTCATGCAGTTTATTGGGCTCGAAGCTGATTACAATTCTGTGCCGGCAATTTAACCCAACCCACGAGCAGCCAAAAGTGACGTCAATGTCGGTGTTAAGCTGTGTGGGTGTGTGTGTGTGTGTGGGGAGCTTTGTTTATTTGCATACATACAATATGGACAAGCAAATGCAGAAGGTCAATGTTGAAAGAGTGGCATAAAGAAGATGCACAGTTTGATAACCACCTTGTAAAACAATAAAATATGCATATGTACGTGTGTATTTGGAATTGCAGGGTGTGAAGATGGAGCCCAAAATTGTGCCAGCAATGTCAACAAAAGTTGCACCAACAACTTAATCAATTCTGCTGCTAGTTCCGAACTTTGGGTTAGTTCTGCATGTCCTGCCATCCCCGTCGCTTATTGTGTTTGTTTATTATGCAAATTTGCATTAATTTTTCGTGAGCTGCACATGTGAGCCGGCAGCAACCATGTGTGTTGCAGTTGCAACTGTTGCTGCTGAGGTTTTTGGACTTTCAAATTGCTTTCGAGCGCAAATCGTCGGCAAATTTCATTAAAAATGCATATTGCACACGATGTGGGGAAAGCCCCTTTCCTCTTCAATGTCTACATACATGTCTCTCTCAGTTGCCAGGCAAGTCCTCCCTTGCGATTAGCAAACAAGGACATTTCGAAATCTTTTGTTTTATAAATAGCCTCCTTTGATAGACAATTAAAAATGTAACTTGCTTTCGGCATGAACGGGGCTATCAATAGATGGGATTACATACATAAATACATGCAACGAAACAGCGAAAGTACCCCTTTAAGCTGCCCTAATACTTTTTCCCTCCAGGTAAGGATTTTTCTTCAATACAGGGCCCTGAACAGTGTACACTTCTGCCACATAAGTTAGCCTTAAGAAAAGTTTTCATCCGCCACCGTCACCGCCCTCACATGTCTAAGCACTTTGTGCAAATTGTTAACGTTGCTCCTGCGTCCTTCTACGCACACGGGCAACAACAACAACGACAGCAGCAACAACATCTGCAAAAAGCAACATCAGCAACAGCCTCGACGACAACAAAAACAACAACAGCAGCGAGAATGCGGCAACAAAGGCTTCAGGTTATTGCATGCATTTTAATTAGTAGACAAGCCAAGTGGGTTGCCACTATATATACACATATATTACTATATAGCCCGGCGTATAGGCGTATCCTCGCGTTTGGGATGCAGGTCTAAGAAGAAGCTGAATTGCCTCCGCATGGGTAAGGCGATGAGTTCCGGTGAGATCTTGCCGAAATCTTAAATTCTAACAATTGAAGCTGCAAGGAAAAGGAATTCTATGGATTGAAATGAAACTGAATGGCGTTAATACAAAGCTGCCAAAGAATATTAGGAATTTTTCAATCAAAACTGAAAAGAGTTGCAAAAAGACCGTAATGAACTTTCTAATGCAGATCAACTGCTATGAATTGATATGAAAGATATTCATCTGAATCCATTTTTCCATTGATATAAGCTTAAACATGATTATTGGAATTTTGAATTTAAAACAGAATTTTCCACAATTAAAGAAAGTTAAAACTGACATCAGATCTTGACAAAATGTTCAATGCAGAAATACAGCAGGATGCATCAAGAACAATTTAATTTTGAGTCGCATTAAACTTAAAAGTGAGAGATAAACAATAGTTAAATAAAACTTTGTAAGGCTTGGAAAATAAATATTAAGAAAAAAAGTATATTAAAAACGGAATAGTTGATTTTAATAAGAAAAATTTGTCTTTCGTTTTCAAATATTTAAGAAAAAAGTCATTACGTTCTCTTTACAATTCAATTTAAACTTATTATTTAATCGTTATCGGTCTAAAACTAATCGTTTGTTATAGTAAATTTTAAAATATAAATTCCATGAACAGAAAATTCGAAGAACGAACCAAGCACACATTTGCCAAATTTATGTAAGAAAAACCGAATGATATATGGTCTAGGGAAACCCATTGTCAATTTGTATAAGCGAACTATTCACGCGGCATAAAGGGTACGGGATGGAAAAACATCGAACTGAGACTAGATGGCATAGATACTTTTCCAGCGATAAAGGGACGTGTGCATAAACAAATCTCGGCTCATCAGCGTCACAAACAAGACAATGATATATGGATCTGGGCAAACCTTTGTCACTTTATACAAGCAAGCGGTTCTGGTGGATTTGCACATGCCCCGCCAATTCGTAGCCCATATCTCAGAGTCCTTTCGCTAGGATAGCACAGTCCTCAGAGCTGTAAGTGCGGACTTCGGCTGCGGGCTTCCTCTCAATCTATCATTCTGCCCTCGCTGGTGGCCCTGCGCCACCCTCTAACCACCATCCACCCACCGACAGCACGTTCTGTGCTAGTTTCTTGTATTTATTTTTAAATTGTCTCACACACACACACAAGCCCGCAGAAAAACACACAGGGACATAGACTCACACATGTACGCAGCGGTCCTGCACTCACATCTTTCGTGCAGGACGACAACTCATGTTTGTATTGGTTCGGTGAGCGTCCCTTCTCCATCTCTCCTTCGATTTCTCGCAGTGTGTGAGTTTGTCTACATAAACGCGAAAAAAGCAAATACCAGTGGGGAAGCTCAAGTCGGAGATTGCGACTATAAGTTACCAATTGGTTGAAATTAATTTGTTACATTTTAATACGTATATTATATTAGATTAAGAATATTTACTATACCTCTTTAAATACTGAGAATGCATTTAAGAATTTAGTTCATTGTGGTTGTCCCAAGAAAGAGTCTTTTTTGTTTGTCAAATTATATAAAATCCTGTTAAACAATTTCGATGTTGTGTGGATAGTGAATTCATATTATTAAATATGCGTTATTTTGCATTTTTCAATAATTAAAAATTATTAAATATATCCTAAAATTCTCCTAAAATTTGTATGACCTATTTTTTGTCTTGAAAATCGTTTTAATTTTTTTACAATTCGAATGTGAATTTAATTGTTTGGGGTCACCCAGAAATGCAGTCAAATCTTAATGTACCACAGAGGGCAGGGCTTTAAAATATTAATTAGATTTTCTGCAAAAACAAAAAGATTATTCCATTGTTTTGTAAACCCCAGAAGAAATTATTGAAATAGTTCGGTTCTGTGAATTTTATTAAGACAATTCAAACAAGCCCTTCCATTTGCAAGATCTCATAACATTAATTTCCTGTCACCCAGAACGAATAAAAATGTTTGTTTTTTGAAAATGAACAAGAAACGAATATACCTTCTATCACAAAAAAGGGATATTGGGTATGAACACAAAAAAAATCTGTGTAAGCTCGCATCTGTCAGGCAAGCAAGCGCCCCACGCTTTTCGCTTCCCTTCGAGTCCCTGGATG